GGGGGGGGGGGGGGGGGGGGGGGGGCAATCAGGGCAAGTGCCCCCCCACTTTTTTAAAAGTGAAAAAAATGCCCTTTTTTCTGGGCTAAAGTGCCCCATTTAAAGAACGAAAAAAGTATTTCTTGACTTAACGCAATCTTTTGCTGGAAAGAAAGTGCCCTCTTTGCAGTAGTAAAGACTCTGTAAAGTTCCAACATTGTAGAGACTCCATATTTTCAAAAATTTTCGTTCGGCTCATGAAGGACATAAAATTGTTTGATTTTGGTTGTATACAAAAGTGCCCCTTTTGGCCAATGCCCCTCCACTTTCGAAATGCTTCCACGGCCTCTGCTGTCCACAATCCCTTAGCCTAGCTTTCAACCCCAAGCTTGTGTTAGCCATGGCTTGCAAACAAATTGACTGTTTTTACAACTTGTTTGCAATTCATTTGAGCTGCAGTTTATTTGGGCTACGGCTTATTGTCACTCGTATAAACGGCCCTATTGTTCTTCATACATGTCCACCAATAACTCATTGTTATGCATTTATCAAATCAATGCATCACATATAAACATCTTACTGCAAAATAACACATGCACAACTGTATACAACATTACAACTGACACAAGACATCATTCATGCACTTAGCAAGCCTAACACTCAATTTTTATCTTTAAAAAGAATAAAAACCATCCATATGCATTCACACAACCACAAGTTTCACACATAATAACAAAATAAACCTATTTTATGTCTAAATATTTAGGTCACATGAGCTCATACATCGAACATCACAAGTTTACAAATAAAAATCAATGCTTTATTTTGACAAATTTATAGCAAATAACTTCTGCTCATATAAACCAAATCCTCAAATATCCTCGCACGTACCTTACAGGGTTATTTTCCACGTCTTTAGTGCATAAAATCAATGAAATTTCTTGTAAATTTATAAAATGTTTGAAAATTGAAATAAACGCAAAGCACATTGAAACACCAGCCAACCCAGCAAAGCATGACGGGTGCGCACACTGATCTACAGTCACTTCCTTAGAAAAAGCTCGAAAATTCCTCAGATTTCCTTAAAATTCCTTAAATTGGTAGAAATTACTACAAGGCCTGATCACAAGCACGCTGATAGGTTCACGAAAATTAAGCAGTTTGGTCATGAGCATATTACAGCACGTATCTCATAAGCATGCTGAGAGGTACACGAAAAAACCTATATGGGGTTTCTCGTAAGCACCTATATAGGGTTTCTCATATACCCTATATAGGGTTTCTAATATACCCTATATAGCCTAATAGGGTTTCTCATATACCCTACTGAGGGTTTCTTGTAGTTTGGTCACAAGCATGAGAATATTACAGGACGTTGGTTCATTTATGGTAGCCTGCGAATACAGCCAGCCTGATTCACTATATATGGGCGTGCTTATGAGAATCCCTATATGGGGTATCTCATAAGCACGCTGATAAGTAGACGAAAACTATGCATATTACAGGACGTTGGTACAAATATAGGCGTGCTTATCAGAATCCCTATATGGGATTTCTCATAAGTAGGAATCTACCGTTGGCTTTTGTCCTGGGTCAATATTTATGGAGAAAAGCGTAAAAATATTTCAAAGTATTGTCACCGAATAAAGGATTAAGATCACTAGTTCAGCTATGATCAATTTGCTATGTTCATGAACACGTGGTATAGTGGTAGAAACTACAGACGTCAAATGAGTATTATTGGTCGATTTCCGCCGAAGAAATTTTTTATATTTTTATAGCACCAAGAAATATTTGGAAATTAATTCTTTTCTTTTTTTTCTCCAAAAATATTCAGACAGGACAAAAGCAAACGGTATATTCCTACTTACTTTACCCAAAAGAACACATACAAGCATACTGAAATCTGGTGAAATTTTGGTCATAAAATTGAGGGCCTGCCAGGGGGGGGGGGACGGATATTAAATGGTAGCCCATTTTTGGCAAGATGGCGGCAAAATCAATAAAAATTTTGTCAAATTTTAGACGTTTTTGCGCGATTAGAAGCGTATTTTTCAGTTACAAGAGAGCTTGTAGCTCGTATGGTAAGATGGGCATGTGTTGTGACTGTTTTGGTCTATTGACGTTTGTTATTTTTGGAGTTGTGGTGCTTTTAAATGCGGGAAGGAGTGAGTGACAAAAGTTGAATTGGGTTTGGAATAGACTAGAATTTATATTAATATTATTGGTATTATTCCGGCCTACACTCAGGCTTATAGTAACCTTAGTCAATCTACAGATTGTCATGCTTTCATGCCAACATTTTTCTCTCAAATTATAAACATTTTTTTACTATATCACAATAGCCAGATTTATTAATGGGTATCAAGCATTGGATATTCACATAGATTTGAAACAAATATAATTTATGTCAAAGGCCAGACAACAGTTGACGATGAAGAAGTGTTTAAATTCAGTGAACTTTGCAGTGAATTCTGGGATATCAATGGTCCCTTCCAAGCATTACACACAATGAACAGACTCAGAGTGCCATTAATCAGAGATGCTCTGTTACGGGATACTGAGGGAAAGATTGGTACCAAACCATTAAAAGATAAAAATATCTTAGACATCGGTTGTGGAGGTGGAATTTTATGTGAGGTAATAAAAAAAATAAACTGATGGCAAGCATCTAGTTAACTAGGGTGAAAGATGAGTATTTCGATAGTCGGTCTAACAATAATTGTGCTTACTTTAAAGACCATGTCAAGTCCGTTCTGCGCATCAATTCTGTTCATAACAAAGGGGGACCCACAGATATAAACATTGCCCAAATTTTGCGTCATTCGAACTTTTTTGAATTGAAATATACTCTAGTTTATATTCGTTTACAATAGCGAACCAGAAAAGTGTTAGATATTCAGTTAGTATATCTTATTTTACAAATATAGCAGTCTATAAGTCTCATGAACATCGGTCTAACAATATATTTTTCTATAGCCCCTGGCACGTCTTGGTGCAAACGTGATGGGAATCGATGCGTCAGCAGAAGCTATCTCTGTAGCCCAGCATCACGCCAAACACGACCCTGAAGTCTGGGAAAGAGTGAACTATAGATGTATGACTGCAGAAGATTTAGTTAACCAATCAGATGGCTTTGATGCTGTAGTAGCTTCAGAGGTCATTGAGCATATTAATGACCCAGAATTTTTTGTGGAAACATGTGCACAACTAGCAAAGGTGAATGCATATGACTGCAAACCAATTAATTTAGTAATTTGAGTTGGAATATATAATTTGAGTTCAGTGTATCATTTAAAAAGTCAAACCTTGAAAAAATTTAACAATCCCATTTCAACTTCTTTGATTCAGCCTGGAGGCTCACTGATATTGACGACTATCAACAGAACACCACAGTCCTACCTCCTGGCCATCCTTGGTGCGGAGTATGTACTCAATATTGTTGAACGGGGCACGCATGACTGGAATAAGTTTGTTCCAGATGATCAACTGGCTTCGTTAGTTATATATAGTAAGTGTGTGAATTATAGGGTTCATTTATTTGTGGAAGGCAACACAATTAGGTCTTCTAGTTTGAATTTTTTTCCCGAAAGGGGTTTATTATACGGCTTGCACATTTATTCCTAAACATCGCTCATAAGTCATGTTTTAAATCTATTGCAGATGGTTTTACTATTCATATGATTCAAGGACTGTGTTATAATCCATTCACGAGACAGTGGTCGAAACTTGGTGATACCAGTGTAAACTATGCCTTGGTTGCACAGAAAGAGTTTGTGTAGCCAGAGGATGAAAATGTTGAAGTTTCTTGAGATAATTATTCCCTTAGTAATCTCTATAACACCTGGACTCCTGGAACATTGGGCCCATTGTGAACTCTCTATGGACCCAAGGGCTACTGGTATATGAAGCTGAGGGCTACTGGTACCGGTATATGAAGCTGACAATAATTATAGAAGACTTTAATTTGTGAATACTATAGCTAAATATACTGTAATATTTGAACTTCGCACATCAATTAGGACAGAAGTTATGACCTTTGAGAATAATTGTTGGAATAAAATAATTAAACTCAGAAGCTTTGTGGGTGAAACCTTGCACTGGAGTTGTGCGGGAAACTAGCACATTCGTAGCAACGTGCCAACGTTTAAACTACAAAGTTTCTGGGTTTTAGTTTTTGCAAAAAATATTCCTCCATGACAACTTCAAGGGGTTGCACTTACCTCGATCAATTTAAACTTTCCGTTATTTTCAGAGGAATTAATATTGCATAGCCTAATTATAATATTCAACGCATTTGAGAGTTGGGGGCATAAATTTGTGGGCATGCAGGCTGTCAGATTCGTGACAACCACGCGCGGCTCCACGAGTCATGCACGAGTCGATGATGGCGGTGAATGGCCACAATTTAGAAAATAACACATGTTCAAATATTGAAGAAGATGAAGAATTAGTCTTGAACAAAGTGCGTAAAAAACTTTATGCGGGATGTCAAGATTGTCCTCTAAATGGTTCTGTTGAATTAATACCGCAGTTTGAGGATTTTGGACCGAGGCTCATAAGAATTCGCATGAATGATCAAATTCGTGAACTTCAGACCGTTCTACGTGACCCGTGAGTAACTTAATCTAGACTGGGTCACATTATGATCTTTTTTATCACTGATTTGCTAATAAGTGTGCTTGTGTATCATTTAATTCATATTTATTTGATATCATGATAATCTAGTTATATAAAAACATGTCCTATATGATGGCATTTGGCAACATTCCATAAATTAAGTAAAATAAATAAAGTAATAAAGTAGGGTGCAAATACAGCTTATAGGCTGTTTCCATTCCAACCATATTGTAGCATAGTATTTTCTTTTGTGTCAATGTTGTTCGATGGCAGTGCTCAACGAACAAAAGAATATGCTATGCTTCAACATGATAAGCTTGAAGTGGAAAACGTTAACAAGGTACATTGTCAGATTCTACCAATGTGTTCTGTTAACCCATTAATCTGCAATGTACCCTACTTTATTATTTTACTCTGTCTAACACCAAACGATATTACTTACATCAAGGAGAGAGTCTTGCACATTAATGGATTAACTTTATTTGTTTTTTATAGAAAAACTGGCAGAGGTGATTTTGTGTTTTATGCTGATCGACTGGTAATTACTGAGCTTTATTTAATCAAACTGAAAAACTGCTTTCTTACACAGAAATGATAATTCTTGGTGCTGTAAATATTTCATGTAGATTCGATTGGTAGTTGAAGAAGGTCTAAATCAACTCCCATATGAAGAAATTACAGTAACAACTCCAACAGGTTAAATGAAAACGTTGATCTTGAAATCCACTTGTTTGTGTCTACAAGATGGCATGTGAATTGCATGAGATACTAAATTGTAATATATAACACTATTTGAACAGGAGGGACATATCATGGCCTAAAATTTAAGAAAGGAAACTGTGGAGTCAGCATCATGAGAAGTGGTATTATGATGGTTTACTGTTTATATATACAGCTAATTCAAAAAAGATTGTCCTTTGCAAACCGTAAACTCTAAATCTTAAACTCTAAGCGCACAAAGCATAATGGGAGTAACATTTAATCAGTTTAGAAATCATATATGGGGCCCATTTCTTAGAGACATGGTAAATATCTCCTTACAGAACAATTCATTCACAAATAGTTGCAATATTCAACTACTAAGCTTGAAACTTATGCTCCCATTAAGCTTTGAGCGCTTAGAGTTTAAGGTTTAGAGTTTAAGGTTTGCAAAACAACCTTTTTTGAATTGGCTGTATATACAAGTTATCTGTATTTGCAAAGCCAGGGTTGTATTGGTAGCATCTATAGGTGCTCCTTATCACAGGCTGATACTTTACGACTTGCTGTATGTTAATCCCTGACCAAATGAGGATGAGAGTGCATGAGAGTTGACAGTCACACGACCTTGGTTAGCTGTTCTTAATGCTTTCCCAACACTATCATGTATTTTATTTAAGTTGAAACATAGTTGGAACACTCATTGACCTTAATCTAGAGCTTGAAATATGTCCTCTGTAACAATGTGTAATTGCCAACTCTCATTTGAATGACCTTGTAGGAGAAGCGATGGAGAAAGGTCTACGAGACTGCTGTCGTTCTATTCGTATTGGAAAGATTTTAATCCAATCTGAGACAGCTTTATCAAAACCACAGGTGAGGCATGTTTCTGGTTTAAAAACCTCCAAATGCATGCTTTTCATGGAAAACACAACCCAAAGAGCCAACTCGAAACCTAGCTGCCAATAGATATCAGTCTTGATGTATTTGTTTCTTACATAGGTATACTATGCCAAATTCCCATTTGATGTTGAAAAAAGACAAATTTTACTCATGTATCCACTTTTAAGTAAGTAAAGTGCAGTTCTTGATTGCAACTTATTGCTTGTATACAAAGAAGTTGAAATTGATGTCTCTAAATCTCGTGCTCTGATAATAATATGTCTATTGTAATTTTGTTCCAAGATACGGGTGCAACTATTATTGAAGCTGTCAAAGTCCTTGAGGAACACGGTGTGCAAGAAGAAAATATTATATTTCTTAATCTTTTTGCCACGCCTCACGGTAAGTAGTTGTTAAAGGTAATAACATATGAATTATGTAGATAATCCATTGGATGATTGAGCCATTTATTTCCAGCATTTATCAGACAAACTATCCTTCCTTGCAGGTGTAAGGAATATTTTAAATCAATTTAAACAGTTGAGAATTTTAACCTCTGAAGTCAGTCAGGATATAATCTTGAACTTTGGACGGAAATATTTTGGAACAGAGTGACAATATTAATATAGTGTTTATAGAGGAATACCGTGTATATATAGATATATATTCAATATTATTGCAGTGTAATATTAATGAACGACTGAATTTTCATTCCTTACCCTAAAACTTGGTGCAGTCCAGAACGTGTTTTGTAAAAAATATTTTGAAAAATGTATGTTTGTTTTGTTGAAAATATTTGCCTTTTCCACATTTTATATACAGGTGCCAATCCAGGCTCAATTCTGATTAGAAATGTAAAATAAAGTGATGTAATGATTTGTTGGTAAAATATAATCAATAAACTCTTCCTTGTTGTCAAAACTTTGACTTAACGTCATGGTACTTTAATCTTGTAAAGGTAGTTCAGACACAAACCACGCCAGCTTATTGTAGAATTTTACTGTCACTGAACCGCCACATTCGAAATAACTTTCATTCAGTTAATGGTGTCCATACTATGTAAATTAATAAATAGATAGATATGTAGATATCTAAACTATGTTCAAATTCAAGCATACTAAATTAAACCATTGTAAAGCCAGCTTTAAAAGCAGTTGATCACTCACTCTGCCAAGGCACCCATTCAATGATACGTTCTAACCCTGTAATCATTGTGACCCTTCTTCGATTGACAGCCATTTTGAAAGGAGCGATCCTATTTTCATTTCGAAAGCCATCTCTGAGTTTCAATTGAAATTCATTGCCCAACACTCTAACAGTCGGCAGTTTAGGGGATTCGGTGGGGTCATACCCATCCTCGACCGCCTTTCTAATGGCATAGGTGTGGAATAACGCCCGTATGAAATCAATTAACTCTGTGGAGTTATCGATGTATTCTCTGACACCGGTTCCACCATCTCCGACCTGTTGAGGATTCTTGGTATCTTCCATGGCTGTTTTTCCCAATTTAAAGCATTCTGAAAATGTGTCAGAAATACCAGTGACGTCTGCTTCGGGGCAAAAATCACGTGTCCAATTTTGGGTCTCCGTCACAATGGTTGCATAAGGGTTTCCGTGGTTTAGCTTCTGAGAACAGAGTTTTAGTAAATCTGGGAGAATGATATAATCTATTAGGTTTGTAGTTAAAATACGATCATATTTGCTTTCCTGGTCAATATATTGCTCGATGACCATACAGTCGCAGAGGAGTATTTGAAAACGGACTTGCTTGCTGGATAATTTTCTCATCACCATTCCCAAAATATTTTCGATGTATGCACCATACATTGCAACCAACGAATTCGTATGCTTGAATTTCTTCACTTCTATATAATCCCAGCCAACGAATGGTAAGACGTCTGAGGGAATGGAGTAGAAATAGTGTCGGCTTTCTTTAAACTTATGATATCCCGTCAAAGTGGGGTTTTCAGCAAATGCAGGCATCTGGTTGCGTTGAAATGTGCCATGTTCCATCCATTTCCTTGCTGACTTCAAATGCTCTTGTGGAATAGTATTGAAGTATGTTTCCCTTCCGTGATAACTTCCTGCGTCTAAGTTGAACTCTCTTTGGCGTTCTCTTCGAATCCACGTCGTTCCTTTTACCTTAGTGAATTAAGAGATTCTACTTACAATAATTTGTCTTTCGCAAGTTTTCTAGCTAAATAAACACACTAACTCTGTTTTTTTAATACTGACTAGCGCTGTCAGTTCTAAACTGTTCCTGCCAGTAAATGCCATTCCCAATTTTCTATACCTGTAGTGTTACTACAGGAAAAATCCAGCGTTTTCCACTTCAAATGTATCGTAGCATCATCTTTTGTGCCCATTAGTTCCACTCTAGTGCTCAGAAAACAATGAAATACGTTACGATGTGTTTGAAGTGGAAAACAGCTTTAAACATAACTTTATACTGCATAGCTCTACCAGTTTTGTCCAAAGCTAGTGTTCTCCAATCGTTCTTCTTGGAGGAAACTTAACTAAATTCTGTCAGTTCTACACTGTTTCTCCCTAGAGTAGAGGTCTCGTGAGGATTCAGTATTGTTATTACCTTCAGGTTGTGCCATCTTATCCAGACAGTCTTTAACTCCTTTAAATGTGCGTCATTAATGCTAATCAAACCCGCTGTTTTGGTCGTCAGATCAGAAGCACACGGGCAGTCAATGAGGGCACGAAGACACAAGAGTAGATATTTGTATGTCGGTTCGCTCAGTAATATTGAGTACCACACTTCTGTCACCATTTTCTCAACGCCTGGTTCACCTGTGTTTTAAATAGTTTAAAATATAGTGAACAATTTTTAGGCAGGGATTTACTGTCAATAAATTTACCGTTGAGGTTTTAGGTTAATACCCTAATCATCCAAGGAGTGTTTATGCTTGTATACCCACCCAATTTACCCATATACAGTACAGCGTGTCCCAAAAAAAACGAAAACTATTGAAATCACTATTGTTAAAATTTGAATGCCCTTCCAAACAGCTGAACGTAATGATGCGTAAAATATTGACAAGATGCATGTATTAAAATTTAGTTAAAAACATCTTGTAAAGTGTGCGATTTTCTGCTCTTGGGAATTTAAAGCAGCTTCTTAAAGCTTCTTAAGCAGTTTCTTTATGCGTAAAATTTACTTGTGTAATCATTTATGCACTCGTGGAAACCAACAGAGTGATAAGGCATTCAAATTCTAACAATTAAATTGTTATTGGTGATTTCAATGGTTTTCTTTTTTTGGGACACCCTGTACAGTATATCATGTTTACCATTGGTTGTCCTTTATTCCATTCTATACTTACACTGGCAGAACAGTGTTAACTAGCCATGTGAGTTTAATATCTCAAAATGTGAACTGGTTGACAATAGGCATAAACATACGTTAGCTGATTATGTACATTACCGTATTTTTGGATTAGATAGAGGCGTTTATTTGAGGGCGGCGTTTATTCGAGAGAGGCGTCTAATCGAGTAATTACGGTTGTTGAGTCAAGTGATTGAGTCTGTGACTTTGTGGACTTTTACGGCGTTTTTCACGTAATCACTATTAAACTTACCCTTAATCAGCATGTAAATGAATAGTACGAGTCTGGCCAAGATGCAGCTTTCTCTGTCATTCAATGTGAACATAACAACATGTCCGTACGTGTCTGGTAACAGGGCACAACTCAGTGCAACATTTCGGAAATCACCAACGCCGAGAAACAAAACTTTCAAATCAAAACTGTAGTCACCGCCTTCATTCTCGAGCAAATTGACGCCGTCAAAAGCAGGATAGTTTCCCCAATAGTAATGCTTCGGGTAGACTATTTGCCTATGAGGTGCATAATAAGCAAACATTTTCTGAACGAGTCCTTCTATCTTGTCTTTAGTGCTGCTGCAGTCGGACTTATGTGCCTTTCTGTGCGATTTTTGGCATTTAATATCGCAATAGTATACTCGATAGCAACCAGTACATGCCCGTAAACCCGAACCGCTTTTTCTACATGACGAACATGTTTTGATGATGGCCACCGGGTGGCACTCAGCTTCGTGACGAAATTTATCATTTCTGTGGCAGGCATTGCTGCAGTACTTAGCAATATCGCAAGCACGACAAGTTACGCTATTGCCAGTTTTTCCACAACGCCAACATTCAGAGAACCTTGGCATTTTAACTGGAATAGGTACTTGTGTAGTTGTAACTACGGAAGTGATATTATGGTTGAAACGAAAGCAGTTCTAGTCTAGGTGGAATTAGCATAATCTCGTATTACACACTTCCAAGAAAATGGAGTGAATTGAACAAAGTGAAAGCTCTCAGCTGTGTCGAATTTCAACCGTGAAAAAGCTTATATATCTGATGCAAAATCCTGCTCATTTATTTGAACTTTAAGCTTACTTTTCTCACTAAATACCATTCATGTCTCCAAGATTATTGAATATACTAATTAACATTTTCATCGAACCGAATCACAAGCTATATACAGCATTAGTGTCGGTGTTGTGTAAGATATACAACACTTGCATTCAGCCCTTTGTTTATTGTTGTCCAACAATATAAAAACAAAAATTTAGTTTCAAATTTCACATTTTCTCCGTGCCCTTCTTTCCTAGAAAGTATTTGACTTTAACAAGGGTGGGTTCTCAGAAACGGGCAAGAGAGACAGAAAAGCGCAGAGACATTGACTTTAATAACTGATCACATTAAAATGGCAAATGGCAATCTATTTTTCAACCTCGTTCCCAGGTTTTCCCCCTGTTCATCGTAGTATGATCGTAATCCTCTGATCGTAATCGTACGATGCAAATGACAGTCCAAAGCATACATTCCAGTTATAAATACAGCTCATCGTTTTGAAAAGGTGTCCGCTGGTCATATTCTAGAACATCCGAGGCGCATGTTTCATCTTTCTTTCAAAACATTTTGAAAAGAACCAGGAAGGCACATAATATATTTGGCGAATTTGAAATTCATTCATCAACATGAGTGATAAAATTATTTTATACTGGACATCTGTAACCAGCAGTTTAGAAGTAAGTTTATATATTTTTGTTTAGGACATAATAGTGTCATATTTCAGCCTCAATTGCAAAGCCTCTTTAAATAAATATAGGTATTTTAATGTCAGCTTTTTAAACAGTTTGGTAACTTTTTTAATGTAATACAGGAATGCTTACTTCCATAGTGTAACGGGTGTTTTACAACATATAACAAAGTTTCTTGGGCAACCAGTTAAGATGATTTTTTGTGCATATTTTGTATAAAGTTTTAAGATGGGTGTGTCGTGCTATTTATGTAATTTAATATGCATTGGTATTTCACTAGAAACGGGTGTATTTATATCAATTGTTAATTAAGAGGAAGGTTTATATTATCAATATGTCAGCTAATTGGAACTGTCATGAAAATGATTGATTTTATATGCAATTACTTTTGAGATAAAGTTGATTATTGTTAATATTTAAAATGGCAACAAATGCATAAAATAGTTTATGTTCATCATACTTGAACATATATGGTAATATTGATACAAGAAAGTACAAAACTTGCAAAGCCTACATAACATAAAGTATGGTGAAGTTTGCCTTCTGATTATGATCATGTGAATGACATTAGGGGTCAATGTCGTCAAGATAAGAGTGTTAACACTCAATGGGTCAACCCTCATTCAAAGGCAATAAAAACCAACATAAAATGATTATGTTTTGTGCCTTGCTTATGTGATGGGCAACCACCTCACACAATATGGTTGATAGCAATATTTTTTTAAACATTTTTTACAATACCAGAAATCTCAACAACTTAACAAAGCCCGTCTAATTCGATCACAAGCACTGAATTTTATAATAATACACAACAATTGATTACATTGGCCGGCTTTATTCAGTTGTTGACACTTCTGGTATTGAACTTGTGACCGTGCCTAAATGTCAAAAACAACTATTGCTATCAACCTGCTATTTTTATTGTTTTATTGTGAAGATTAAAAAAGAACAGCAAAGAATTGAAATGGTCTTGTCTGGCAAGAAGATTGAATATGAAAAAGTGGACATTTCATTAGTCGAAGGTGCGAAGGAAAAAATGCGAGAAATTTGTGGAGAAGGAACACTTCCTCCACAATTGTGCAAGGGTGACACATATCTTGGGGTGAGTTTAAGAATGCTACTATGTTATTTGTTTTCACTTTTGCTGTTTGTCATTCAAAAACAAAAACAACATCAGGGCATTCCGAGACTGCATGATGGTGTATCTCTGCCAACAAAAGTTAATAAGCAAGTGCCCATTACCAAATTCTATGCTTGCTGAACTCAGATTTGTGTGATTTTCAACGGGACTGTAGTTAATTGAATACAAGTTCTTTTCCATAAAAACTGGAGGCCTGAGTAATGTTTCCTACAACCCAAATTGATCTTCTAATTTCTGAGGCCTAATTTCTCAAAAACATTTCCCCGAACCACATCCTAGTTCAGTGTATGTGGAGGTTCATCAACCCTTGGTCATGCTTTGGGATGCAATCCTTGACAAGTGTATAATAACTAGGAGCTATGTAAAGCAGTGTACTGTAGTAGGGGCTAAACACTGGCCCTGGCAGGGTTCCACCAAAAACATTCAATTACAGTACACAAGGTCTATAAAGCTATTAGTGTACCATAATTGAAGTTTTTGAGTGAATGAAGAAAGAGTCCCTATCCTTGTATCACTGATCTATAGATATTAAGTGTTATGTACCCTTCCAGAGCGTTCAACACACTTGGTGTTAAAAGCCAATGAAGGATCATTACCCCACACCACGATAAAAACTTATTTCCGAGGTTTGCAACCAACATTGTGATTGGACAACTTTATGTTTTGTTCTTGTTTGATCGCGTGGCAAGATCGTTGGATCGCAGGATATGCAAAATTACCTTAAAATTAACGAAGTAAACATTTCTTTAAATTATGTTCTGAAATGTTTACTTCGTTAATTTTAAGGTAATTTTGCATATCCTGCGATCCAACGATCTTGCCACGCGATCAAACAAGAACAAAACATAGAGTTGTCCAATCACAATGTTGGTTGCAAACCTCGGAAATAAGTTTTTATCGTGGTGTGGGGTAATGATCCTTCATTGGCTTTTAACACCAAGTGTGTTGAACACTCTGGAAGGGTACATAACACTTAATATCTATAGATCAGTGATACAAGGATAGGGACTCTTTCTTCATTCACTCAAAAACTTCAATTATGATACACTAATAGCTTTATAGACCTTGTGTACTGTAATTGAATGTTTTTGGTGGAACAATGATGAACAATGTATATGGTGGAACAATGTGATTGGACAACTTTGCATTTTGCAACGGTCATTTTCTCTTTGGGGGGGTGAATAGGTTTTCAGATTGTCGGATTTCACAGAAGAAATTGTTCGGAATTTGGATCTGGCAAATATTTTACACAGATTTGCGGATCTTATTAATACAGCGGATTGCGGATTTATCTAATATTTTGACTCGGATTGTGGATTTAGCTTGCACTTTAGTTTGGATCCTGGATTGTGACTTCATAGTAGAACTTTTAGTGGATTCAAATTTAGACAAAACCATTGTCGGATCACAGATTTTGCTTCAAATTTGGGGGTGGATTTGTATACCCCTATTTGGGTACCCCCCCCCCTCTCTCTTTTGTGTTGAGTCATAACAATTAATAACAAACCAAAATAAAGTCACAAGGACAAATATTTTGCCCATTGTTTGACAAATTAAAGGTATTTTTGAACATTGTGTATATACATTATAATCATACAATAAGACAAAAACTGAAATATATTTACAAAGATGACATTAAACATGCAATGATGTTAATAATTAATATACCCAAAAATTATTTCAATATTTACCTAAAAAATTATACACCAATCAACATTGTGATATTATTTTCCTAATATATTTATCTCAATTTTAGAACTATGCTCAGTTTGATGCAGCAATTGAAAATGAAGAACTCGACAAGTTTCTTAAACTTTAAATTTAGTAAAATCAATGTTGTCTATTGAATTGTCTACTGTCAATAGTACTTTATGAGATGACATCTTTCACAATAATGGCAATATAGAGTCCTAATGTAATTGTAAAGTATTTACACACTTACAGAATGCTTTCTGCTATAATTAGATACATATAGTAAGAATAAAGCAATCAACTTAGATTTTGTAGTAAATTAAATAATCAATTGTCTTAAAATCAAATGTGATGTAGCTCCATAGATAGCCCTATCAGTTCTAAACTGTATGCCATTGAGGTCCAGTAAGAATTATCTCTTATTGCTCCAATGTTACTAATATACTCTAGATCAATTCTGTTCAAACCATTCTTTCAACAGGTACAGTGAGGCCATCCATAGTGGTCCAGTGTTACTACAGGAGGAAATAAGAGAACCCAGAACTCTAACAACCACAAGCAACTATGTCACAATACTCTAAGATACTAGACATTACATATGTGATATCAAATGTTGTTTGTAATTGCTTAATGCTCAGGTCCAGAGCTGTCAGGAAGTTCGTCCATTGGTTCAAACGTACCAAATGTGGACAGACTATTGGGTTCACCAGAAGCATCGCTAAATATAGCACTTTCTGAGGTTTTATAGGACCTGGGAGCAGTTGCCATTCTTTGTAATTGACCAGCACTTGCCGAGTTAACAATTTGCCGGGATAGCCCTTCCTGGATACCTGGGTTAACCACGGGGTTAACCAATACAGTATTGTTGGGTTTTTGGGAAGCCAAATTCCCCCGGATGCAGAAGCCGATGACAAGCAGAAGTGCCAAAATCTCTAATGTGATAATGAACACCTTTATCGAATCGCTGATATGCTGTACATCATTCCTGAACACAATTGTGGCAATTATAGCAATAAGTAGCAATACTATTATTGGTGTATAACACGAAGGCACGCGCCGACATACGCAGTTCAAATACCCACAATCGATTTTACATACGCCCGTTTCATCGTATAACACAGGACTTCCGCTTTTATTAACCAAAGGAATTTGTTCCCAAGATTCGCTGAAATCGTCGAGAACTAAGCGAACATCATCGGTTTGGAATTCCTTTTTGATGTAGTTATCCACTACTCGAACTAAATCTTTCCTGCGCGGTCTTAACTTTCGAATTAAATTGCGAAGATTTCCAATTTTTTCACGACTGATATAATCCTGCGTAATCATGTAGTCGAACAACGCAAGTCCGTCGTTCATATTTCTCCTTATTCCCCCTGGCACGTTGTAAATATGAATAAGACTTCGTAGGTTATCGTCTGTTAGTTGGTGGCTAATTTCGTTCAACAATAGTCGAAAAGAATCCATTCTTTGAACTTGCTCGCCCGTTGCTTGTGCTGCCAAGGTCGAGTGCCTGAACGCAACTGAACCAGTGTACCAATGCTTTGTTTTTATAATTTCTAAGAATAATTTGGGAAATTCCCTCACAACCTTCTTCGCAGAATCCACTTAAACTAATAATAGCCAATGATCTTCCTCATTTTATTCACATGATGCGCACCTGACCTTGTTTCGTATTCTTTTCATTCTTTTATATTTTTCATGTTTATTTCTTTTGGGTATATTATTCAACGAGTATTTTGAGTTAGATTAAATAAAAATAACGTTTGTGGTAACTCGAGTTTTCTGTGCAAATGCTTCAATATTCCGATAATATTCAGACCGGAAATCGCTTTTCTTGAAAACTACGAGAAACCACCTTAACTGAAAAACTGCTTGGGAGATTTTAACTTTTCATCTTCGACGAAATACAGTAGCAAAGATTTGACCAAAAAATATTCTTCCAACAGTTTTTGTCACGTTTAAAAGTCTCCTGATTGGCCAATATCCACCAATCACAGGCGAAAGCTAGAGCGGGATAATTTTACGTGGAAGAAGTTTGGGGCATTTGGAACATGTCGCCCTTTGGAAATAACCTAAGACAGTCTTCTCCACGTTTTATTCAAGACGACCGCTATTCGACGCTTCTGCGACCCAGAAATGCCTTCAACCGTTACAGGCAAGTATAAATTTGCTATTTCTTGAATTTTTCTGACTTTACTTTGAATTTTTAGGCCCGAAATGCGGGTTCAAAGTTCACCGTTTTCTCGACCAGACCGAAGAAGTTTTGCCGCATTTGACTTTAGTTTCTTGTTCTTTTCGTTTGACTTTTGTCTTCGCTAAACGTAGCAATACTTCGAGAGACTTTTGAAGGAATTTTGGGGTATTTTTGAGCAAAGTTTCGAGACGAAATGCGAGGTTTCAGTCGAGCACTTAAACACATGGTAAACTTTGTCGCTGTATTCCGCTTTTATTTCAAATATTTGATGACACAAAGTAGAAACAAGACAACAAAACAAACTCACCAAGTTTTTAGAAGTTTTTCAGGAAAATATTTGAAGAAAATATGTTGAAGTCGAACTTGGGAAATTTTTGAAAACTTTTCGCGCGCGTGGCTCGGTTATAGCTTCCTATTTGGACAACACAGATTTTGACAAGTCTAAAGTCAATAAAGTCTGAAAAATTCTACCAAATTTACCAAAATTTTACTGTTTTCTGAATTATTCCTTAAAATTCAACTGCCAGTTTCTGAGTTGCAACAAAGAGTCGCCTGATGCTTATTAAACCCTTAGGGAATTTGTTCGCGCGAAACATTTCAGCCATGTGATTGGTTAATGAAAAACATTTTCGCGCCAAATTTTCTCGCCAACGAATCAAATTGCCGGAATTTGCTCCCACGGGAATTCGTTATCGCGAAGTTCAAATTCGCCTACTGGAAAACGGGCTTTATACAATTAGAAAGATAATTGCCTGATTAGACTTATATAAATGAATATTATTGACAAAAATTAAAGTGTTAATTGCCAGTTTGTTTATTCTTTTTGTTGTTTTTACTAACAATTATTTCGCATTCTATTTCAGGTTGAAGTCAATTCAGACTGGGCCCAAATGAACATAATTTTAAAGTTCTAAAATTTTGGAAAAAACGTTTTAATTTGAATTTCATTGCTTTTATGCAAAAAAAGATAAAAAAAAACAAACTTTTCATTACTTTCAAAAGGTTAGGTTAGGTTGGAAAAAAGTACAAAGGCAGTGGCATTTCAACTTAATTATTTTTCCAAGGTCTCTGTGAGACTTCGAGTCATTCAGCATGGACAAGCAGTACATGTAAAAAGAAAGGCGCCGCTTTTTGGGTGTACTGTTTGTCCTTGCCGAATGGTTGGAAGTGTTGCAGGTATCTTGGGATATCTAATCAAGTTGAAGTGTTCTTTTTCATGGCTGTTTCTATAAGGGCAGCAAGTGCTATTGCTATATGCTTTAGCCAAAAAATAGTGCATTTAATTCTCATAGCTGTTTCTATAAGGGCAGCAAATGCTATTGCTATATGCTTTAGCAAAAAAATAGTACATTTAATTTTCATTGCTGTTTCTATAAGGACAGCAATTGCTATTGCTATATGCTTTAGCAAAAAACGTAGTACATTTAATTTTCATGGCTGTTTCTATAAGGGCAGCAAATGCTATTGCTATATGCTTTAGCAAAAAATAGTACAATTAATTTTCATGGCTGTTTCTACAGTAAGGACAGCAAGTGCTATTGCTATATGCTTTAGCAAAAAACGTACTACATTTAATTTTCATGGCTGTTTCTATAAGGGCAGCAAATGCTATTGCTATATGCTTTAGCAAAAAAATAGTACAATTAATTTTCATGGCTGTTTCTATAAGGGCAGCAAGTGCTACTGCTATATGCTTTAGCAAAAAACTTAGTCTTAGTGCATTTATTTTTCATGGCTGCTTCTATAAGGGCAGCAAATGCTATTGCTATATGCTTTAGCAAAAAAGTAGTACAATTTAATTAATTTTCGTAGCTGTTTCTATAAGGACAGCAAGTGCTATTTTGCTATATGTTTTATCACAAAGATATAGTGTATTCTTATTTTGATTGCTGTTTCTATAAGGACAGCAAGGTTGCTATTGCTATATGCTTTAGCAAAAATAGACTTGTTTGCTACTAGCTTCTATATAAAATGCTACGGTTACTAGGCTATACACTGCCCAAAGATGTCATTTCTATACGGATGGTATCTTTAAGCTAGTAGCAATTTAACTAGATTAAACAATAGTGCATGTCCTAGTTGTAAATATTTGTACATTTGTGTTCATTTGAATATGCTGTGATGTCCCGAGTGGTTCAATGATGTACGTGGCTTACTATAATCAAGTGTGGATATATATACAGTGTACCAATCCTATGGCAAATATATGTTGGACTTACAAATGGACTTACTACTTATATTCAATGTGGATTATATTATGTGGATAAAAGATCAGGGTATTTAATGGGTGTACTACTTCACAGTGTTGCAGTTTGTAGATGTCGTGGAATTAAGCGTATGAAATCAAATATTATAGTTTTTTGTTTCTATACATTCAACCATTTGAGTGCACAGTGCATGAAAGGCTTGGTGGTCAGTAGGTTGCATTTACACACACTAAAATACATATTTTTTAATGATATTGTTTAATAAAAACAAAAATTTTCTTCATTTGACTTAAACTTAATTGTGTGTAAATACAGCCTATATATGGTAGTTGACAAGCGAGACTTTGCCAGTCAGAATAAAATTGAAAGCTTTTTCCAAACATTTGGAGATATATGTCTGGCAATTAGTCTTGCTTGGTTGCATAGTTAAGCAGGAGGTACAAATGGTACCACAAGAGGATAAAGACACAGATTTCCCCAGCGAGTAGAGCAATTGTCTCTCTTCCCTTCCCCAACCATGCGCATAAGGGAGAGGATTGCTTGCTGGCTCGGTTGAGTTACTAACCTCCGGAACCCCCTCCAATTATGCCATATTACTTTATGAAGATGACGCTTACGGGACAATTGTGGAACATTTGTCTGGATGGTGTCATTTTCATATTTGTAACATATGGCATAATTGGTTTTCTTTTTCAGGTTTAAAGTATAGCTTGCTTAGAAGCTGTATAAACTAGATGCATGTTGCATGTTTAATAATGTAAATGACCACCAAGTATTAGGCAATATAGGTTAAGAATACGGTTATTATTAAGGGTAAAATGTGTGTGGGCAGGATCGAGTACAAAATAAATGCAAAACAATTCGGAGCAAATGAAAAAAATAAAAGCAAATGAAAAAAATTTAAAAAATTCAGTATTCAGACTGGCAAAGCGCGAGCAATGTAAATGAAATAAAAATGAAAATTCTGCTACAATATGGCGAATACAATATGGCGAATTATTACTAGTCTTGTAGTTTCTAGAAATGTTGATGTAAATATAGTCAAGTAGAAAAAACACCAAATGTAATTAATATCTAATTCAATTGAATGTAATATTTAAATACAGAGCAAAAACTTTGTTGTGGTGTGTTTGCATGTTGAAACTGCTCGTTCCTAATCCTTTCGCAAAATTCTGTGGTCTTTTCCTTCTGACTGTTTCACATGACTTGCACATACATGTAGTTTACAAACACTTAGCTGTACATTTAATACTTAGCTGGATGTTTAATAAATGTATTAGAAAATACAAGAATTAATTGCACCATGCATACTAATAGCAAAATACACATTCTAATCAAAATGTATAATGCTCTAGTATCTCCTCACCTGACAGGGTGTCTGTATAAGCCGGAACCCCACCCGGAACACCCGGAACCCACCCGGAACACCCGGAACCCTACCCGGAACACCCGGAACCCCACCCGGAACCTCACCCGGAACACCCGGAACCCCACCCGGAACACGCTGGAATACGAGCTATGAAGCAACGCACGTGTTTCTCTATAAATTCACGTGTTTCGCATTAAATTCGGGGTGATGGATGGTTACGATCTTTACTTTTTACTTGTATTGTTGTTTTTTTTAATTAAATAATTTTTCTCATGGGCAAGGATAAATCAGTATTATGTCGGGAGGTATATAATATCAAATGCATGAGTTTTGCTTGTTTGTAAACGTGCAAACGAAGTTTCGCTCGAGGCGTTTGCCGCATGTACTATATTTTTCGTTTTCAATATTCTGCCATGCTATGTACTCTATTCTAAATTTAGTTGAACAATAACCAATATTTAACTTTGCTATCTTTTTTATTATTTGAATAATATGTTTGCACATGGTTACTTTGACTTGCAATTGTATGAAACGGCGCCATGTAGGAATTTAGAGGAATTATAAAGTTCATCCGTATTTATTACAATACGAATTCTCGTGGATTTGGGAAATTTTTCATGGATTTCTTTACTAGACTTACTCGTTTTTTTGGAACTTTGAAAGACGTTTTAGTAATTTAGAGGCTGTTTTGTAGGCTGCAGTCATTGTCATATACAAAACAGCCTCTAAATTACTAAAACGTCTTTCAAAGTTCCAAAAAAGCGAGTAAGTCTAGTAAAGAAATCCATGAAAAATGTCCCGAATCCACGAGAATTCGTATTGTAATAAATACGGATGAACTTTATAATTCCTCTAAATTCCTACATGGCGCCGTTTCATACAATTGCAAGTCAAAGTAACCATATGCAAACATATTATTCAAATAATAAAAAAGATAGCAAAGTAAAATTTTGGTAATTGTTCAACTTAATTTAGAATAGAGTCGCAGGTACATAGTACGGCAGAATATTGAAAACGAAAAATATAGTACATGCGGCAAATGCCTCGAGCGAAACTTCGTTTGCACGTTTACAAACAAGCAAAACTCATGCATTTGATATTATATACCTCCCGACATAATACTGATTTATCCTTGCCCATGAGAAAAATTATTTAAAAAAAAACAACAATACAAGTAAAAAGCAAAGATCGTAACCATCCATCACCCCGAATTTAATGCGAAACACGTGAATTTATAGAGAAACACGTGCGTTGCTTCATAGCTCGTATTCCAGCGTGTTCCGGGTGGGGTTCCGGGTGTTCCGGGTGGGGTTCCGGGTGTTCCGGGAGGGGTTCCGGGTGTTCCGGGTAGGGTTCCGGGTGTTCCGGGTAGGGTTCCGGGTGTTCCGGGAGGGGTTCCGGGTGTTCCGGGTAGGGTTCCGGGTGTTCCGGGTGGGTTCCGGGTGTTCCGGGTGGGGTTCCGGCTTTTACAGACACCCCACCTGACATATTGCTCAACAATATGGAATGATGGATCTAATACCATTCTTAACAAACTCTCTAAGTTACAAAGAAGAGCAGCTCGGGTTATCACAGGACAATCATACGATGTTCGTTCCACTCAAATACTAGAAAGTCTCAATTGGATGCCAATTGAAGACATTTTAAAGAAAAGAGAAATCATTATGACGTTTAAAGCTTTAACTAACAGACTACCTGATTATGTGCAGAATTTCTTCACGAGATGCGAAAATAGTAATTATTCTCTAAGAAGCAATAATGTTAAACTATCTTTGCCTAAACCAAGAACCAACTTTCTTAAAAGAAGTTTCTCTTATAGAGCAGCACAAGGGTGGAACGAATTACCGGATGAAGTAACTAATAACATTCAGGATTTATCTTTACCCAATTTCAAAAGGCGTTTAGCCCTTAAGCTTGCACATGAATAATGTATAATGCATTTCCGAAATTAATGGAGTGTGTAATAATTATGTGCTGTAATTAACTGTAAATATCCATAGTTAATGTGTGTTTAATACTATATAGCACGGCCCTTTGAAAAACAGACTGTATATATTATACTGAATAGGCTACCGTGTTAAAAGAAATTTTATTAAAGATTAAAGATTAAAGATTAAAACAAAATAGTACATTTAATTATCATGGCTGTTTCTATAAGGGCAGCAAGTGCTATTGCTATATGCTTTAGCAAAAAAATAATACATTTAATTTTCATGGCTGTTTCTGTAAGGTCTGTAAGGACAGCAGTGCTATTGCTATATGCTTTAGTAGTACATTTAATTAATTTTCATAACTGTTTCTATAAGGACAGTAAGTGCTATTTTGCTATATGCTTTATCACAAAGATATAGTGTATTCTTATTTTGATTGCTGTTTCTATAAGGACAGCAAGGTTGCTATTGCTATATGCTTTAGCTGAAAATAGACTTGTTTGCTACTAGCTTCTATATAAAATGCTACGGTTACTAGGTTATAATAATTCTAATCCTTTCGCAAAATTCTCTGGTCTTTTCCTTCTGACTGTTACACATGACTTGCGCATACATGTAGTTTACAAACACTTAGCTGTACATTTAATACTTAGCTGGATGTTTAATAAATTTATTAGAAAATACAAGAATTAATTGCACCATGCATACTAATAGCAAAAAAATAGTACATTTAATTATCATGGCTGTTTTCTCTAAGGGCAGCAAGTGCTATTGCTATATGCTTTAGCAAAAAAATAATACATTTAATTTAATAATTTTCATGCTGTTTCTGTAAGGACAGCAGTGCTATTGAGTACATTTAATTAATTTTCATAGCTGTTTCTATAAGGACAGTAAGTGCTATTTTGCTATATGCTTTATCACAAAGATATAGTGTATTCTTATTTTGATTGCTGTTTCTATAAGGACAGCAAGGTTGCTATTGCTATATGCTTTAGCTGAAAATAGACTTGTTTGCTACTAGCTTCTATATAAAATGCTACGGTTACAAGGTTATAATAATTCTAATCCTTTCACAAAATTCTGTGGTCTTTTCCTTCTGACTGTTACACATGACTTGCACATACATGTAGTTTACTGTTTACAAACACTTAGCTGTACATTTAATACTTAGCTGGATGTTTAATAAATTTATTAAAAAATACAAGAATTACTTGCACCATACTAATATTCTCGTGTCTTTTTTTAGGTGAATCAAAATATAGATTTCTTCCCTTTTAGGTTTGCTAACATATTATATTACTTTCTTCTCATTTTTTAGGTTTTTATATTTTTAATGTTCACTAACAATATTATATACTTTCTTTTTCTCTTTTTTAAGGTGTTTTTCTTTTAGGTTCACTAACATATTTTATTTCTTTTCTCTCTTTTTTAGAATTTCTCTTTTTAGGAATTTCTCTTTTCAGGTTTTTACTAACATTTTTCCTTTCTAGGAATTATCATATTTTATTTCCTTTCTCTTTTTTTTAGAATTTCTCTTTTTAGGAATTTCTCTTTTCAGGTTTTTCTAACATTTTTCCTTTCTAGGATTTAACATTTTTCCTTTCTAGGAATTAATTAATAATTTTTGTACATTTTATCTGAAATGAATGCATAAATTTGTGATAAAACTTGTAAATGCATTCGTTTTTTCAATAAAAATAAAAAAAATCTAACTGACTCTGTGTTTTCACTACTACATAAATAGATAAAAAAAAACAACTTGTAAATATTTTTATTTAAATAAAAGTCGTCGGCTGTGTCTGGCATGTGGTGCTTGATTGCATGAGAGAGGGTTTTCCTCCGGGTTGCCCGGTTTCCCTCTCTATATATTTACACCCTTTTCTGATTGGCTTTGACATACAACATGCTACAAGTCTGAATAGGCTGCATTGCATTAATTAGGGAAATAGAAAACTCAATATATAACCAACCTTTCTTGATACTGCATGCAAACATATGTGCACACACTAAAATGAAAACCAAAATAAAAAACAGTGTCCGTGTTTCGGAACCAAGACAGGTTATAGGGTTAGATCCCCTGTGCACTGCCTCCCTCACTCTAATAATTCTAGTCTCTTATTGGCTGAATGTTTGTCTGACTGCTGAGTGACTGCAGGCAACAATATCAACCATTACCTTACGATTACCTTAATACCCTGGGTACGAGATTGCAATGTCAACATGAAAGGCTTATCTGGTATATACTATTTCCGGCGCGGACTTCAGAATGACATTTCGTCAAATAAACTTTTTTCTTCAAGATAAGTTTAGAAACAAACTTGGAGTAAGGTTAGGTTAGGGTTAGAGTTGGTGTTAGGATTAGGGTTAGTGTTTTGAATAGGGTTAGTGTTAGTAAAACCGTTGCTTTGTTACGTTTTGTCACTCTGAGGCCAGCAAAATAACCTCATCCCTATTTGCTCATGATGCATGAGAATGCGGCTCCCGGTGGTGACTGGCTGCCTGTATGTGTTTTATATGTTGCCAATAAATAGCTGTTAAATAGTTACTCACTTTAGCTTCTAGTTAAGAATCGTTTCAATATATTTTCATGTCAAAATGTCAAATAAAAGGACTATATAACTAATGTTATTTGTACTCGATAGCTCTACTCAGGGGAGTAGCGAAAGCTATAGGGGGGGGGGGGGCTCCACACTTTACGTTTGTCGACAAAGTGGGCCAGGGAGAGTTGTGGTTTGGGCGTGGTTTACGATAACGACTTAAATTTTCCAGCTTCAATACTATTTCAATTATGTCTGGTTTAATTATATTTACACGGTGTATCAATATTGTAACTGTTCTGAACTAAAGGACAAACAAAATCAAACACTAGGCCTATGGTGACTAGAATCATGTTCAATTTACACCCTATTTACACACTAGAGCGATAGCAATAGACACTTCCCGAATTTGCTTGAGTGCACACGAAACAATAGCTTGGAATCGAGGCGGACAATGTAATCCATTGGAAAACTATACTTATTTCCAATGGATTACATTGTCCGCCTCGATTCCAAGCTATTGTTTCGTGTGCACTCAAGCAAATTCGGGAAGTGTCTATTCACCTTAAGATTTCAGGTGATCGGTGATGTGTAGCCTGCGTAGAAGGTGTTTTAGTGCGGGCGGGAGAAGAGAGGGCTAGACCCTCCTAGCTATTCAGGTATTCAATATGCCATGACCTCGTCTCTCGTTACTACCACACAGTTAGCCTGTGTTCACTACGTCACAGTTTGTTCTTGCCAAAATGGGCAGTTCCAGATTTTCCTTAGGATGACCCTGTGTCACAATATGATTGTTCCAAGCTATGTACTAGGTATCACATATGTGATATAAAGTATTGTTTGTTATTGCTTAAGGCTCATGCCTTAGGAAATTCGTCCATTGGTTGAAACGTACCAAAAGTGGACAGACTACTGGGATCACCAGAAGCATCGCTAAATATAGCACTTTCTGAGGCACTGGTTTTATAGGACCTGGGAGCACTTGTCACTCTTTGTAATCTAACATCACTTGCGGAGGTAATTTGCCGGGATGGCCCTTGGTCATTTGGGTTAGCCAATACAGTATAGCTGGATTTATGGCAAGCCAAGCAGGAAACCAAATTCCTACGGATGCGGAGGCAGATGGCAAGCAGAAGTGCCAAAATCTCTAATATGAGAATATACACCCCTGCTCTCTTCAGATCCGAGTTGAAATTGATGGAGTCGCTGATTTTGGGGACATCTGCATACCAACACACCACTGTGGCAATTATAGCAATAACTAACAATACTATTATTGGTACGTAGCACGAAGGCACTCTACGACAAACGCAATTTGAATACCCACAATCGATTTTACATACAGCCGTTTCTTCGTCTACAGTGACTGGACTTTCAAAAATAACTCCCGGCCAAGATTCGCTGAAATCGCCGATAACTGAGCGAACATTATCGGTTTGAAATTCCTTTTTGATGTAGTTATCCACTAGGCGAACTAAATCTTTCCTGTGCGGCCTTATCTTTCGAATTAAATTGCGAAGATTTCCAATTTTTTCACGGCTGATGTAATCCTGCGTAATCATATAGGCGAACAACGCTAACCCGTCGTTTATCTGTTTTCTTACCCCGCCTGGCACGTTAAAAATATGAATAAGACTTTGTAGGTTTTGTTCCGTTAGTTGGTGGCTAATGTCGTTCAACAATAGCCGAAAAGAATCCATTCTTTGAACTTGATTACTCATTGACATTGTCATTGTGTGCCTGAATACTGTACGAATGACTTTGTTTTTCACATATAAACGAGTTAAACTGAACGAGTTAAAGGCAATAATTAAAGACCTTTGTTGATGTCAAAGACATTTACAACGAGTTAAAGACATTTAAGTATGAACGAGTTAAAGGCCTTTGATGATGAATCTTTAGGATATCCTAACGAAATTGGAGTTCGCCTGGAGGCTGTGTTAAACTTTTGACTTAGAATCCGACCTAAAAATTAAATGGAAGTGGTCAAGATAGCCTATGGGCCAAGTTCGCAGAGGATTGTGATCCAAACCAACAATTGTGATCATTATTAGTAAAACTGAAGGTTGAAAAGCTTGGCAACTTCGTGTTAAGAAATAAAGAATCGAATAAAGATATATCACACGAAGCTGTTGGCGCCGTCCCAAATGAGGTATGTCAATGCACTTGTAGCTGCTGATGGCTAAATTGCGTGGGTGGGTCGTGGGATAGACAATGAAAATATCTTTAAAAAATAGGTACGAGTGCGTACATGTTGCATGCCATTTAAAACCTTATGATGCGCCTGGCCTGAAACTTGAATTGAAAAATAGCTATTATGTCAAAGTAAAAAACTTAAGATTTTCACGCGAAAAGATAATGTTTTTATGGGTGACCGTTCATCGTGGGTATGACTAAAGGGAGAGTTACGAACCGGAGAGTTATCTCGGAGAGTTATGATTTCGAAGAGTTATGTTCGAACCACGCCCACTTTCCCCAACGACCACACCCAATTTCTTAACTCTCCCGACGTTTCCTTGAACTAACATGAGAGAGTTATGTTTGACGTAACTCTCTCTCGTCATAAACATTATGAAGATGTTAGAGAGTTATCATTTTTTATAACTCTCCGCGTTCACGATAGTGGCAATGAAGAGAGTTGTGTCAGTTTTTTGAGAAAACCTCAGTAAAGCTTGTTTCTTCAGATTTTCATCTTATATTTTGGTATTTCAGTTTGTAGCGTGTCAATGGCGTGCGTCCAAACAGGAAATAGTACAACTTGACTCGGTCAAAACAATGAGATGCTTGCATCACAGGGGTCAAATTACCCCCTGAAGCATGCTTTGACGTGTATTTGGCAGTAAATACTGGTTCCACCTAATACGAATGCTGGGCTTTGTAGATAATCCAAGTGAGCATGTAATAATTTATTTACTCGTACTCGCTTTACTTCGTAAGTACTATAAAAGTACTACTAGTTTCTACTAGCTTCTTTCTACTGTTAAAGCTGAAACTTGAGAAAAAAGTAAATTCACAATAATTTACTAAAATGTGGAAGTTTTTTACAAAAAACTGACGGACATAACTCTCTTAATTGGCATTGCCACAATCGTGAACGCGGTGAGTTATAAAAAATGATAACTCTCTAACATCTTCATAATGTTAACGAGAGAGAGTTACGTCAAACATAACTCTCTCATGTCAGTTCAAGGAAACATCGGGAGAGTTAAGAAATTGGGTGTGGTCGTTTGGAAAAGTGGGCGTGGTTTGGGCGTGGTTCGAACATAACTCTCCGAAATCATAACTCTCCGAGATAACTCTCCACTTCATAACTCTCCATTTAGCCGGTCCCGTTCATCGTTAGTTGCAAGTGACGGTAATAACAAGGTCGAGGTTTTATCGAAAGCGATTGACTGTAAGATTTCCTTCACAAATTTATAACTAAATGTTATTCTTACAAATTTAGCTTTATTGTAACTTTTCGAAGGTATAAAATCCCGTGAAAATGGTGAATTATAGATGTTTTCTGGAATGACTTATTGGGGGCACTTCTTGATATATGCACAACCAAAATATATCGAGAAAGTTTGGGCAGCCTTAAAAAAAAGTCAAAATTGAGATTAGTAAAAAACACTGATCTAAATTTGACCCAGGTTGGCACCTCTTCGCATTTTTTTAGATCAAGGTTCTACCCCTGGAGTTTTATTCACCTCCAGAAGGAGGTATGTGCTGGGGGTGGTCCACAACTTCAGTCTTCACCTTTGCCGACAGAGTGGGTCAGGCAGAGTTTTGGGCGTGGGTTTAATACGATAACGACTTAAATTTTTGATAAATATTCTTCAATAGTATTCAATGTAATTTTATTAATAATCCATAAAAATCTGAAACTAACTTAATTTCTAGGACAATATAGAGCTCTAATGTAATTGAAAAGTATTCACACGCTTACAGAATGCTTTCTGCTATGTTAATCAGATACATATAGTAAGAATGAAGCAATCAACTTAGATTTTGTAGTCAATAAAATGATCAGTTGCGATGTAGCTCCGCAAAAAACTGAAACTAATTAAATGTCTTTTTAGGAACTTGTACTAAAAGATTGGGAGAGCATCATTTGCTAATCTGATAGGTTTGAGCATTCATTGTTAATTTGTTATAGCTAAGCTATTGAGTGCACTAACTTTATTAATATTGGGATAGCTCTATCAGTTCTAAACTGTATGCCTTTGGGGTCCAGAAAGGATTATCTCTTATTGGTCCAGTGTTACTAAAGAAGAAAACTTTATTGCAAAGGATAGCTCTTTCAATTCTGTCCAAACCATTCTTTCAAGAGCGGGTACAGTGATAGTTGTCACAATACTGTACTAGGCATTACATATGTCATATAAAATATTTAACAATTATTCGCCGAAGGCGAGGTGATTATCGGTGAATAAAAACCGAGATGAAGTCGAGGTTTTTATTCACGATAATCACCGAGCCTGAGGTGAATAATTGTTTTAGTATAATTTCATAGACATAAGTGATTATTTGGAAAAAAATAAAAAATACACATTTCTTCGTCATTTAATTGACAAAACGGGTTCGGTCGCCATTTCGAAAATCGCTTAGGTGAATATTGCGTTATAATCACCTCAACGGCAACCAATCAGCATGGAGAATTTCCAATAGTCACCTACTGTGTAATTATACTAATATTTGTTATTGCTTAATGCTCAGGTCCAGAGCTGTCAGGATGTTCGTCCATTGGTTGAAATGTACCAAAGGTGGACAGACTACTGCGTTCACCAGAAGTTTCACTAAATACAGCACTTTCTGACTCACTGGTTTTATATGGTCTGGAAGCACGTCTTTGACTTTGTAATCGAATATCACTTGCGGAGGTAATTTGCCGGGATGGCCCTTGGTCATCTGGGTTAGCCAAAACAGTATAACTGGATTTATAGCAAGCCAAGCAGGAAACCAAACTCCTCCGGACGCGGAAGCCAGTGACAAACAGAAGTGTTAAAATCTCTGCCATGAGAATATACATCCCTGCGTTATTCAGATCCGAGTTGGACCTGATGGATTCGCTGATTTTCGGGACATCTGCATACCACAACACCCCTGTGACAATTATAGCAACAAGTAGCACTAATATTATTGGTGTATAAGGCACACGACGACATAAGCAATTTAAATTTAAATCAAAACACGCACAATCGATGTTACATGAAGTAGTTGTTTCATCGTCTATAGTGACAGGACGTTTGTTTTCATGGCTTTGTTCCAACGATCCACTGATAACTAACTTTTCCTTTTTGATGTAGTTATCCACCAGGCGAACTAAATCTTTCCTGCGCGGTCTTAACTGTCGAATTAACTTGCGAAGATTTCCAATTTTGTCACGACTGATGTAATCCTGCGTAATCATATAGCCGAACAATGCTAGCCCGTCGTTTATCTGTTTTTTTACACCCCCTGGCACTCCATATATGTGAATAAGACTTTGTAGGTTTTGCTCCGTTAGCTCGTAGCTAATTTCGTTTAACAAAAGCCGAAAAGGACTCATTCTTTCAACTTGTTCGCCCATTGCACAGATTGGAATATTTGTGTGCCTGAATACTGCACGAATGTCTTCGTTTTTCAAAGAACGATTACAGTAAGGGAAATTCCCTTCTCAGAATGCATTAGGTAATTCCAGGAATATTGGTAATTTCAATAGCCAATCATATTTCTCATTTTAGTCGTATGATGCGCACTGTTGGTGCGCGCCTGACCCATTGAGTGATGGCCTCGTTTTCATGTGCGTGGGCGCCATTTTGGAAAAAATGGTATTATTTTTATCGAGATTTTTATTTTAAAAAATTGTTGAAAAATGCTTTCAAATACGGAATGTATATATTTAAAATTTTACTGTGAAACAAAGTAGAATATCGTCATTTGGTAAGTCGAGTTATTCCTTTTTACAGTACATTGTTGATGTATTTGTCTCTCACAAACAAAGGAAATCAGATAGATTTCAAACACCACAAAGGAAATCAGATAGATTTCTGCAGTTACAATAGAACGGTCAGAAATATAGACATAAATCATAAATATTAAAGGTGATCTAAAGTTCGTATGTAAACAAAGCCTTTGTTTACATTTTTGTGTCCAAAATATTGAGCTTTATTCGACAACTATTTATATTTTCAAGCTTCTAGAGTATAATAAATTATCAAGAAACAACAATCAGGCTTTTCAAGAACTCAAAACATAGTTAAACTGTTTGTATCGTAAAAAGTGGGCTCATTTGTGCACATGCGCAGATCGGACTGTAGATCACCTTTAATGCAACAAGAAATCTGGGTGCTTTCTCAATATATTTTGGTTGTGCATATATCAAGAAGTGCCTCCAACCTGGATTTCTATTTGGGCCATTCCATTTAATGTACACACCTTCCTATGGACGAGAATTTCTAAGGGGGTTTCAAAAAGCCATTTCTGAGGGGTTGTGTGCATCGGCATCCATTGATCTTTGCATTTTTTCTGAGGGGTAAGGCAAAAATTTCCTAATTTCTGGGGGGTTGTTTGTGTCGGCACTTTAATGTTTTTTTCTTAGGGGTTCAAATTTTATTGAAATCGTCCATAGGGGTGTGTGTACATTAAATGGAATGGCCCATTTACATGTAATATGAAGTGACTAAATGTCGAGCAGTCGGACAATGGTTTAAAAAAACTAAATATATACCCTCCATTTTTTCTTCGTAATTTCGACTCAAAATTAAGGTCAGCTCTCAAGTTGGCACCTCTCTGCATTTTTTTATATCAAGGTTCTACCTCCGGAGTTGTAATTTCAAAGCAATTGTGCTGTCTGCAGCTGAAAAAGATTCTTTGAGAAGAACTAGAGGGACTCAATATACTGGATATGCCATCTTTATGGAGATACCAATAATTTAAAAATACTGGTATAGTGACATGCTGGTATTTTGCCTCCATCTCTCCCTTTGCATAAGTGCCATTGAAGAGGAGGAAATTTTATACTGTATAGCTCTAATAAATTGTTCTACCCCAGTGTTACTACAGGGGGAAATTATGTAACTCTATCAGCTAGTTCTAAACCACTATAGTATTATTACTACTTAGTGCCCCTACAGAAGGAACCTGAAATACTTCTAGCTCTAGCAACAACTACTCCAATGCCACAATATTGTCAGGTCCTGACTGATACACCAATGGTTGTTGTCGCGTACTTCCAGGTCTCTGAATTAGCGGGGGGAAAAACTAAAACAGGTCGGCAATTTCAAATTTTCAATAAAATGTGCCGGTATAGTAATAATGCCATTTGCTTTCACAAAACAGTAATTGCAATTAATGAAGTATATATATTTGAAGTACTGTACATGAAATAAACTTTAATTCAAACACTCATTAATAATTCATAAGCTTATTGGCAAATCATGTCAACCATAATATGTCATACATGTGCAGTGGCTTTAAACCTGATAAAACACTCCTAATTAGTATTCTTTATATAAAGAATACTAATAAGGCAGTATCTATTGTAGTTGTGTCCTCATTAGTATTCTTTATATAAAGAATACTAATAAGGCAGTATATCTATTGAATTTGTAGTCATGTTTGAAGCCGTTTAATAAAGCCATGTTTTATTAGGTCTAAAGCCACGAGAGCGCACTAAACCTAATAAAACACTCCTGCTCGTTTATTAAACAGTACATAAACTATACAGTAACATTGCTGCCAAAGCTATAACTGAGCTCAAACATTGTTTTATTGTGGTCAATAACAGTTATTAGTTATAATCTAGTTATAATTATATTATAGTTACAGTTAAATCTAGACTACAGTGTATAAAAGAATATCTCTTCATCTAATAATAGTAATAACATTTTCTTTACTCTAAATTTAAATCGGCAAATTACAGGTCAGCAATTTTTTGCCGTCCTGACATGACTATAGGTCAGCAATCAGGTCGGCAATTGCCAATTGGCCTGGGTTTCTGAAAAGTATGTTCAGTCTACAACGTAGAAAAAGAAGCACAATTGCATATACAAACAATCGACTCCAACATCAGGGGTGGAAAAAATAGGTGAGCACGCGAGCACTGCTTGCAGGAAATGTTAAACAGCTGCAGGAAATTCGTTTGAATGAAGATTTGCTATTGAAAATTTGAAGGAAACCTTGACAACCATGTCACACCATGGGCAATTATTCCTTGAGTTCAATACCATGGTCAGCTATAGAACACTATATGCTTATACACATGCAGATTTAGCACAAAAATACTCCATTGGTCTGCAGGAAATATTTTTTTTCTTCAGGTTGTGCTCCCAGGAAGAAAATTCTTTTTTCCTGCCCTGTCCAACGTTTCTTAGTGCCACCAATCATGTTCCATGCCAAGACATCTCAGACTAATACATATAGTCATATACCAACTAAATTACAGCATTGAATACCTTGGACTTGGAAAGGTCATATGGCACCAGCAAAAAGTATGCAGATAGCAACAGTTCAAATACCAGCCCGTACTACAAGGTGTATAAAAAAAAGGTAATCGAACTTCAGCGCGCTATTGTATCTGAATTACTATGCGTATGAACGAGATTTTTTCACATTCGGAAAGATCATGCTTTTAGCTATTGAATGATATCTTCTTCATGCCAAATGGATAAAAAATAAGCAAATACGAATCTGATAAAAAATATTAGTCAGAATCGCATATTTTTACCGTTGAGAGTTGGGTCTAAAACCATTGAAAATTAACCCCCTTTAGGATTTAAGTTGATGAATTTCACTTCATTAAACTGCACACATATTCATAATTATTATTAAGTATGAATAAATCTTAGCTAAGCTACGACACGTTCGTGATTAATTGCTTTTTCTTTTGTTATGCATTGTTTTAATTAGGCACAGGGGTGAAAATGTGCGATTTTGACTAACATTTTTAATCGGCCTCGTACATGCTTATTTTTTCTCCACTTGGCATGAAAAGCATGTCATTCAATAGCTAAAAGCCTGATCTTTCCGAATATGAAAACCAATTGTTCATACGCCAAGTAATTCACGTATATAATAGCACGCCGAAGTTCGATTACCTTTTTTTTTATACACCCTGTATATTATCACATCCTGTAGGTATTATACTGTATATACAGAATGTAATTTTCAACACGGATGTATTATTTAGCCTGAGTCTCAGGTTCAGATATGTCTTGCTCATGCACACTATCGGATGTACCTGGTTCACCAGTGAACCACTGCGGGCAGGAATTTTCCCCGGAGGTATAACTACTGAACACAGCACTTTCTGACCCACTGATTCTATAGGGCCTGGGAGCACTCACCACTCCTTGTAATTGACCGGCACTTGCAGAGTTAATAATTTGCCGGTTTGGCCCTTCTTGGACACCCGGGTTAGCCAATACAGTATAGTTTGGTTTTCGGAAAGCCAGGCAGGAAGGCCAGATGCGGAGGATGATGACAACCAGAAGTACCAAAGCCTCTGCTATGAGAATATACACCCCTGCTCTCTTGAGATTCGAGTTGGATTTGATGGATTTGCTGATTTTGGGGACATCTGCATACCAACACACCGCGGTGGCAATTATAGCAATAACTAACAATACTATTATTGGTACGTAGCACGAAGGCACTCTACGACAAACGCAATTTAGATACGCACAATCGATTTTACATACAGCCGTTTCTTCCTGTACAGTGACTGGACTTTCAGGGATAACGTGTTCCCAAGAATCACTGTAATCGCCGATAACTGAGCGAACCTCATCGGTTTGAAATTCCTTTTTGATGTAGTTATCCACCAGGCGAACTAAATCTTTCCTGCGCGGTCTTAACTTTCGAATTAAATCGCGAAGATTTCCGATTTTTTCACGGCTGATGTAATCTTGTGTAATCATATAGCCGAACAACGCTAGCCCGTCGTTTATCTGTTTTCTTACCCCGCCTGGCACGTTGAAAATATGAATAAGACTTTGTAGGTTTTGCTCCGTTAGTTGGTGGCTAATATCGTTCAACAATAGCCGAAAAGAATCCATTCTTTGAACTTGCTCGCCCATATTTTGAGTTACTGTACCTGTGATTCCTTTTGATTCCTGTTACTAGGTCTTTGTTTTCTAAGAACAAATCGGGAAATTCCCTTTTGATTCCAGGAATACGATAGCCAATCATATTTCCAGATTTTGGTCACATGATACTCCACGAGAGTCCCGAAGGGGTAAATGGGATCTGCGGGACTGATAATTTTGTGGTTGGACATTTCAGAGTCGGAAGTAACTTTAAGAACAGCTACAGAGCAATTTTTGATACAGAATTTAATTAACGGACGTATGGTAGCTCAATGAGGTCATTTTTCCGCTATTGTAAGTCAGGATTTAGAGAAAATTTGACTGGCAAATGGAATCTAGACCACCCCCCTTCAGGACCCTCATGACTGACGACCTCGTTTTCATGTACGCGCGTGGGTGTCATTTTGCGCGCGTGGGTGTCGTTTTTCATGTGCGCGCGTGGGTGTCATTTTTCAACAAGGTTTTGTTGAAAAATGACGTTAGGCGTTAGTGGGGTTGGGGTTCGGTAAACCCTTACCCAAACCTCAATTGACCATTTGCGTAATAGACTAAATTTTGATCTAGACAAAAATTTCATCACAGCTTGAAAGAACATCACAAAATTAGTAATATTCCAAAGTTTCGTTGCAAAATGTTGTAAAATGCGGATAATATAGCCTTGCGAAGTTTGCAATTTTCAGTCGTTTTAGATTACAAACGGAAATTGACAGCCCGATACGCTTTGAGGCTGTCAATTTTCCGTTTGTAATCTAAAATGACAGAAAATTGCAAATTTCGCAAGGCTATATTATCCGCATTTTACAACATTTCGCAACGAAACTTTGGAATATTACTAATTTTGTGATGCTCTTTCAAGCTGTGATAAAATTTTTGTCCACACTTGTTTAGATCTAAATTTTGTCTATTACGCAAATGGTCAATTGTCAGCCTCATTAGGGTATAACCAAATTCTTGACCTAGCACTTACCATGAATTCCTAATCTTAAACAATCACAAGATCTCACAAGAATGCATTGTATCAAATTAGTTTATTCACGTTCAAAATTATTTTTACAAATAATCATCTAACATTTCAAATCCCTTTACATTTCAAATCCCTTTACGGTTTTTTAAAGATTATTAATTTTCTACTCCATTAATGGATCATTGAGTTCACCATGGGTCCGGCTCTCACCAAAGAAACGACAAGAAGTGAGACAAGTGCACGCCAAACGAACACCTTTTGTAAGAAGAAACACTAGTCTCGCAACCTGTGAAACAACGGCAACAAACACTAGCAGAATGCAGACTGCTGGGAGAAAGCCAACAAGTGCAACTTGACACCACTTGAAACCATCCATAATATGTGACATCGGGCCTGTGGGCTCAACCCCTTCAGAGAGGTACGCCATGAAAGGAAGATTAAACATTGCCATCAGCACCAGGCAGAATAATGATGTAGTTTCAGCACGGTTATCGAAAACACGCTCATAGGGTTGCATATATATATGCAGCGATAGATTGATGATGCAGAAAAGTAGTAAAGTAAGCGATTTTAGGAACGGATCTTTAATCAAAACAGCGGCGAGGATTAGAACAAGCATTCGACCAATCAAAACGCTTTCCCAATAAATGGTGCCAGCGCTGATATGATCTGGAATACGGTATGAGCCAAACAGAACCGAGGTTATAGCCGTTCGGCCACCCGTATCCGGTGCAGCATTTCCAGCAAGATGACGCCGGTTTAAGAACCAATACGACAACATAGGCAACGGAAATAAGCAGGCAAGGAAAAAATTAGCCACAGAGATTTGCTTTTTGTAGAATTTCTTAGCTCCGAAGAATATGACCAATACAAATGGAAAGAAATATATCAGAACCAGTGTCCCTATAAGCGTCTGCCACCAAGTATAGCATTCTATATTACAGTTGACAAACAAACAGTTGACACCATCAACAGTCACACAGTTTAGCAGAGTTAAGCTTTTCCGAGCAAGTACAGTATAACCGAGAAACACGCTTTTAAGAAAGGCTGATAGATAGAGACTGTTTTTTGGAGTCCAACTAGGAAAACATACCGACATTGTTTTCTGTAGAAGGAAAATACATGGAATGGCAAAGAGAACTGAGAAAACGCCTAAAGTATGGAATAACAGCTTTGATACAGGATTCAAGCCTGGAAATGGGCAGGCAAAGCCTTTACGGTTCAAACGCACATCAAAGTTGAATAATCCTACTGTAAATTGGGTTAGATGACTATCCCAAATTGCATTGTAGGACCCTTGCACTGTTAGGATGTCTATAGCTTGGTAATAGAAGAAGATAATTCGTTCTAAGCCTGATATTGAGGTTTCTTTTGAGACGTCCTCGGGGTGAGTTCGGGTTGAGGTGAGTTCAGTCACTTGGGGTGGGCTTGATCGAAACCAGGTGATACCACGGTAAAGAATGGCAGGGATATCTGGTTGGATGATAAGATAAAGGGTGAAGCCTAGCACAAAGATTACTGCCATAGGCCAAAACCAGTAATCCTTGCATTTTTCTGATTTTCGACACGATGGTGTGAAGATTGTTTCAGTGTAACCTGGCATGCATGTACCACAGAGCCTGCCGTGTCGGGCAGTGTTGCATTTGTCGTATGGAACACAGCCTTTCCGTGGGGACGATGCCTGACAACAGTAGCCGACTGGGCAGCGCGAAAACTCTATTGTTGGTGGGTTCATCTGGATTTTGTATCCCCAAAAGTTTGGTAACACTTCGAGACCTTTAGCACATCTTCCTCCAAACGGACACAGCAGACATTTCAACGAGTTACTTGTGCTATTTCTAGGAATGCAATGAGATAGGAGTAGATTATATGGGGATTTTTAGCCATCCGGCACTCACTGAGTAATTAATGTTGAAGGATTTTGTAGATGGAAATTTTGAGTGAGATTTTTATACATTTATTTACACCTATGGATCGCCCCTTTGTCCTAATTCCATGGTATGGTATGGTATGGTATGGTATGGTATGGTATGGTATGGTATGGTATGGTATGGTATGGTATGGTATGGTATGGTATGGTATTAATGGTATGGTGTGATATGGTTAGGCTTGCTGTGGTAAGTATCTGGTGTGGTACGATATGGTGTGCTAGCTGCTAAATAGGTATGGTAAGGTATGGTAAAGTATGGTATGGTGTGTTTTGGCAAGGTATGGTATGGTGAGGTACAATACGGTTAGGTGTGGTGTGGTGAGGTTAGGTAAAGTAGGTATGAAAAGCTATGGTATGGTATTGTATGGTAAAATAAGATAATAAATATTCTTACCTATACACCCCGCGGTCTATGGTGTAACTACCCATGGTACAAAGTTCACATTCAAATTCAAAACTCTGTACAGCTGATGTAATTGAAACTGAGCGCTTCATCAAGCGTCTGATTTTATAACCCCAAGGACATTGTATGGATGTACCTTGTTCCAACTGAAATTTGTCTGTGTGTGCTATCTCTATTACTATCACTTTCTCTAAAGATGGTGACCATTGGTAATCTAGTGTGGAATTGGACAAAATAACAGAATCACATTGATCACTTGATAGGCCAAGAGTGCCATGAAATTTCCCATTGTTCGAGGTTTCATGGACTGTATGACGTTGGATTATCCGAGAATCTTGTATAAAAGAGTTTCCATAAGTCAGACTTATACTGCCTGTAGCCTGGACGTCCGTAATGTTACCACCATTATTACTGTCCAATGTGCAGTTTTTGATAAATATATTAGAATTCAACCCTGTGATTGCACCAGGCCCATTTCTACCACTGTTATTACGGAATGTGGAATCGGTAATGTTACATTCAATTTTACCCCCGACAAGTAAGGCTCCAGCGAAGTCAGCTATGTTGCCTACAAATACACACCTTTGTATGTGCAGGTGAGCAAGGTTCACTGCTAAAATAGTTGAGTAAGTTCCTATGTTATTATGAAACTCACAATCTTCAATAAACAAACCTGAGTCAAATGTTTCTCCATACTCGAGAGGTGACTGACCCCTCTTTGGATCAAAGCCATGCCCTTTTTTGGTTGACTCGAATGCTTTATTATCACCCATCAGTAAAGATCTATCCCTTTTCAGTGATCCACTATTCTCAGAACCCAGAGCTTTAGTGCCTGTTTTCAAATCCCCAGTAACCTTTGACTTTAAGGCCCCATTCTTCTTGGAATCGAAGCCTTCTCCGTTTTTGCTTGGTTTATTATTGTCCAAGTTTAAAAATCCATCCATTTCCCGAAGTCTACTATTTTCTGTGTCCAGAGATTCGTTCTTCGTTTTGAAAACCCTGGTCCTGTTTGACTCTAGGGATGCAGCCTTCTTGGAACTTAGAGTTAACACTATGGGTTCATCTTTTTCGGAACTTAGATCTGGTTTCTGGGATCCACCTCGCTTGGAATTAAGACTTGGCTGCAGAGGTCTGCCCCTTGGAGATGTGCTTTTCGTTTTAACATGTTTATCCACATTGGCATCCAAGAGTTGACTCATTTTGCAATTTACAGAAAGACCACACTCTTTTGATCCACTCATGTTTCCCTTGAGAAGAGCACCTTCCTTTAATTCTGGAGGTCCACCCCTCCTCAACTTTTCAGATTTCCTTTTCCACTTTAAAGGCCTGTTAAGGCTATCCTGTTGACCAGCGCCGAGCCATGGATCGTTTAGGTCGGAAAATTCCGCCAAAATATGAGCCGTCTGATTTGAATTACTAAACTGAATCACAGAGTTTCTTATAGTTATCATGCTACTTGACAATGTCAAAATATACAATGCCTTTGCGTCGTTATGAGAAAAATTGCAATTTATAACAAAAAAGGTTAAATTGTTCTTGACAGATAAACTGGACTGAAAGATAACCAAATATCCAAGATTAAGAATAGATCCTTTTTCCGAGAACTTCGTATTCGAAATCTCAGAATTCATGAAATTAAAGTTTACAAATCCTTGCATAGAGATAACATGATTTGTCTTTTCCAAATAATTATTGGCAACGGTGATGTTCCTGATTTCTACGAAAACTGGAACTGTTTGATTGTTAACAACGCTTAAAGAACCAGCATTATTCTTTTCTAAGAAATTTGTACTGGTAATATTAATTCTCAGATTACCCAGTACGTGCTTTGTTACTGAGACATCGATAAGGTTGGGAAACGCTGTGTCTTTTTCAAAGGAACCGAATAAACAATTATTAACAGTTAAGGAAACATCGTCAGCTTTCAAAAAAGTGTCAAGAAATTGTAAATGGTGAAATTCAATGGTTGTGAAATTGATCGAATTGCCTTCAAAATTTAGTCCTTTTCCAGAGCAGTTTATGGTTGCTCTTCCATTCCAAGAATAGAAACGTAGTTTTCCAGTAATTGCCCTCGTTGTATTTACACATGTATTGTATGGTACATTTTCGGTGTTCTTAGCGTCCAGTTTAATGATGACGTCATTTCCGCTCGACATATTGATCACGTGATTTAAGGTTTGACATGGTGAGGTGACGTTTTGACAAGAGTTCGCGCCATCGTGACCACGAGATTTTGAGACGTAGAGATTAATGTTCCCGGAGGCTGGAATTAAAAGAATGCATTTTAATGAGTTGTTACATAGAGATTTTATTTTTGTGGAAGTACGTCAACGCAGTCAGGCTGTGATAACTGGCTTGATGATTTTTGAAGTTGACACTTTAGATATTAGAGACCTTACGATTTTAGGACGGCAACGCGACGACGACGGCCAAAACAAACTCCTTTGGATAAATGGTAGTAAAGATAATTCGTCGTATATGATCAATTGTATGAATTTCATAAAGGTCTTAGAAGTTGAACACATAGGTTTTATGGTTGGGAAGAGTTGGTTTGAAGTTGCACTTGTTGTGGCTTGGAATGCAGCCGTTGTATCAAGACGTGAAAATCTGTGATTTGGCGTTGTAAACAGAGCGAGGACAATGTCTAAGGGCCTGTTCATATGGGCAAAAGTTATCCCGGTTAGCGGGAAAACGTTTAGACAAGTTTACAAGCGAGATCTCGCCTTGGTATGAAAATAATATGAAAAGTTACACTGCGTTCATATGAGGCAAAAAGTTTTCCCGTGTACCGAGATCTCGCTTGTTGACAGGCGAGATCTCGGTGACCGGGATGTTTTTCCCATATGAACACAACTTTCCCGCTTAGCGGGATAACTTTCTGTCGTGTCAACACTTCATGTTCAGTGCCACGTCACAGCCGAAAACTTTACCCGGTAAGCGGGATAAAGTTTCTCCATATGAACAGAACAAAAGTATTTGGCTAGTCGAAAAGTTTTCTCGTTAACCGGGATAACTTTTGCCCATATGAACAGGCCCTAAATTATTCATATATAGTAATTACTTAATACTTTTCAATGATCTATTGTATTGGTCATTGGTCATTAGATCCATTCCCCCAACTAGAAGAAGTCGAAATTATGAACTTCGAGTCCGGTTACAGAAATGAAAGACAAATGTCCTGTCACAACTATTGTGCTACCATATCACTGACAAACCGTCGCTAATAATGTTGATAACAGAACTCACCCAGAGTCAGAAACACTACAACGAGCAATATTTTCAAGACTTCCTGTTTCACAATTGATCCGCATTTGTAAACAAACGCAATGTTGACCATGATGAATTCTTATTGAATCTCTAAATCACCGCATATACCAAGTTTTGTCAAATTCAAGTGTTCAAAAGTCTAAACGATGATTTCTGAACAGTTACCGTACACTGATAATTCATAGGAAAGTGTTTCATTTTCCTGGTAAATATTCTCTCAAAGATGTGTTCTAGCATGAAATATGACCTATGTCGGCCAATATCTGGGAAGGTGAAGTAGGAGTATTTTGGATTGGTTTCCGGGATCTGTGATGATGATAAAACACTCCTTCTCGTGTTTTAAATAGTACATAAACGACATCGGGAGTGAGATTATGGGAGGTCATATGGGAGAGGTCAGACTCTTCATACCCCTCTTAGTTATGGTCAATGCATGCAGGATTTTAAAATTACTTTGAAGAAAGACTTATTGAGGCAGTTTTGAAGCAAAATTTGACGTTTTTGAATTCGGAGTTAGCCATGGACATCACTTCATAGCTCGCTAAATTCTGTCATCTCGTATTATTATAAGTAATAGCATGGCAGTCAGGGCGATTAGTGATTAAATGTACCCGAAAGCCGAGAGAGGTTTAGTAAGGATTTAGCCGAAAACAAAGGATTTCTTTGTCTTCTAATTTTCCCTTGCATGCTTGATGAGGGAAATTTAGAAGACAAAGCGTATGCATGGGTAATGAGGTAAATTAGTGATTAATTGTACCTCGCGAGACAAAGGATTTCGAGGCAACTATGGTATTAGAGACTTTATACGATTTTAGGACGGCAACGGCTACCAATACAATAGATCATTGAAAATAATTGAAAAATTACAACATATGAATAATTTAGACATTGTCTTCGCTCTGTTTACAACACCAAATCACAGATTTTCACGTCTTCAGTGATACAACGGCTGCATTTCAAGCCGCAACAAGTGCAACTTCAAACTGGGTTCAGGAGAACTCTTCCCAACCATAAAACCCATGTCTTCAACTTCTAAGACTGTACTAATTTCATACGATTGATGTACGACGAATTATCTTTACTACCATTTATTTGAAGGAGTTTGTTTTGGCCGTCGTCGTCGCGTTGTCGTTCTAAAATCGTAAGGTCTCTACAGCCTAGTCCCAGGCTCTCTCTCTCTATTCGCTGCTTTGATATATTTAAATAAGTCTTAATTATGCTTGGGTGGCTGTGTGGAACGCTTCAGCGAGAGAGCCTGGCAGATTTCGGTAAAATGGTCCCTGATTTCAAAAATGTGGTCCCTGGCCTGGTTACCAAGCATACTGCATTTGTAAATAGAAAATGTTATGGAAATTTCCTTAGCGTTTATAATTAAGTAATTAGTTTTGCTCTAATGCTGTCGGAACAATCAAATAGGCTACGTTTCGCTCCCATACGGTCAGAATGGAATAACGCGCTCAATATGAATCGTGTTTACTAAAATATAAAGCCATATTAAATGCTACCTGGAAGCTTGAAATTTATGCCGAGTCTCCGACTAAAAATGTTTTGACAACACAGTCATGTCAGGCAAATATTTCCAATCTCCTCAGCTACTTAAACCTGTCAAGTAGAAAGCGTAGTTGTGTATACCAGTATGATCTATAGTGTTGATCACAACTTGCGAGTATATAAATAACATCAACGATTATGCGACCATTGCTCAGACTCAGTATCGTAAATTTGTATGTATTTTTTTTAATTGAGCACATTTTTAATACAGTTCGAATTTGGTTATGTAGACATCGAACATGAGCAACGAACATTGTCGTATTTACAAGGTTATAAATTTTCCGCCATATTAAAAATACTGAAATCTGCTAGGCGTTCTGAAGCACCTTTAGCGGTGACGTCACACCTAGGTCCCAGTCTCGTACTACATCCACGTTTTTTTTTCTCTCGCGCTTGCTTCAGAACGACTGAGACTAGGCTGAGGTCTCTATAGTATTGACATGGACGTAGCGACCGGTGTGTGTGGGGGTGTAACCCCCCGCCTCCAACTGTGAAACTCAGGTGAAAGGTAAAATTCAAGTTTAAATTTTGACATTTTCAGGTAAAATTTGCGTAACAAAATCGTAATTTTTGCGAAATGATAACCATTTTTGTGAAATACAGTCACTTTAGATGCAATTCGTTTGCGAATTTTCTTTGGAAAACGCCAGAAATGCAGTCCTGGACCGACCCCCCCCCCCAACTTCAGATGCTTCTCTACGTCCTTGCGTGTTGATCTCAAATATCAATACAAGATGGAAACATTTCGAGAGGAATTTATTCAGACTGTAATTTATTCAGACTTTTTTTTAAAATTTATTAACTTCACCAAATAGTCTTAACAGTTATTACAAAGTAATAATTTAACGAATTAACTAAATGGACAATATGGCAGGGTATTCGCAACCGCGATTGGCCAATTACTGCGAACCCAAGAACAATACGTTAACATCAAATAGCAAAAAACTAACAACTAACTTCATGCATTTATACAACTAAGTATTTAGCTAGCTACGGCAACTCATCGTGCTATGATAACATGCACTAGCTAGGGTCGGTAAATTGCTCTCTCTCTCAGTGTCACCACAGGTGGAAATTATAACTCTATCAGTTGTATTGAACTACTATAGTATTATGTACTAAATAAAACATGAGCAGCTGATCTTTATCTCATGGCGAGAGTTTGTATATCAGATAAAGATTGGATGCGAATTTTCTTCATGAATTATTAATGAGTTTTATAACTATTGGGTTTCGCCACTCCATTATGCAGTGAATCTGATGGGGGGTCATGCAACCTCAAATGTATTGATGTTTATGCTGTACTGGAGTGAGAAAATAATGCGAAATTCCACGTATTTGCCACTAAACACAAGGCTTAATATATAAACCAGACAATCGACTCACTCTGATAACTGTGTTTTGTTTTGGAGTTGACCCCCCGTCACCACTTTTGTGACGTCATATGAAACCCAAGAATACTACCTAGTACCCCTACAGGAGGCACCTGGAGTACTTCTAACTCTAGCAACAACTACTCCAACACCACAATATTGTCAGGTACCAGCATGTGATCATCCAAGATTATTGCTTGTACCTGACTGGAACGCCAATGGTTGTTGCCGCGTACTTGCGCTAGTATAAACTCAAGGTTTATAAAGTACAGGTTTCTGAAAAGTATGCTCAAACTATGCGGTAGAAAAAGAAGCACAATTGGCAATTGCATATATACAAACAATTGACTCCAACATTTCTTAGTGCCATCAGTCCAATCAGGTTTCCTGCCAAGACATCTCAGACTAAATTACGGTATTGAATACCTTGCCCTTGGGCTTGGAAAGGTCATATGGTACCAGCAAAAAGTACACAGATTATTTAGCCTGTGTCTCATGTTTAGATATGTCTTGCTCATGCACACTATCCGATGTACCTGGTTCACCAGTGAACCACTGTGTGCAGGAATTTTCCCCGGAGGTATAACTACTGAACACAGCACTTTCTGACCCACTGATTCTATAGGGCCTGGGAGCACTCACCACTCCTTGTAATTGACCGGCACTTGCAGAGTTAATAATTTGCCGGCTTGGCCCTTCTTTGACACCCGGGTTAGCCAACACAGTATAGTTTGGTTTTCGGAAAGCCAGGCAGGAAGGCCAGATGCGGAGGATGATGACAACCAGAAGTGCCAAAGCCTCTGCTATGAGAATATACACCCCTGCTCTCTTGAGATTCGGGTTGGATTTGATGGATTTGCTGATTTTGGGGACATCTGCATACCAACACACCGCGGTGGCAATTATGGTTATAACTAACAATACTATTATTGGTACGTAGCACGAAGGCACTCTACGACAAACGCAATTTAAATACGCACAATCGATTTTACATACAGCCGTTTCTTCCTGTACAGTGACTGAACTTTCAGGGATAACGTGTTCCCAAGAATCACTGTAATCGCCGATAACTGAGCGAACCTCATCGGTTTGAAATTCCTTTTTGATGTAGTTATCCACCAGGCGAACTAAATCTTTCCTGCGCGGTCTTAACTTTCGAATTAAATCGCGAAGATTTCCGATTTTTTCACGGCTGATGTAATCTTGTGTAATCATATAGCCGAACAACGCTAGCCCGTCGTTTATCTGTTTTCTTACCCCGCCTGGCACGTTGAAAATATGAATAAGACTTTGTAGGTTTTGCTCCGTTAGTTGGTGGCTAATATCGTTCAACAATAGCCGAAAAGAATCCATTCTTTGAACTTGCTCGCCCATATTTGTGTACTATACCTTGAGTTACTGCAACCTATGATTCCTTTTGATTCCTGTTGCTGTGTCTCATGACTTATGTTTTCTAAGAACAAATCGGGAAATTCTCTTTTCATTCTAGGAATACAATGGCTAATCATATTTCCATATTCTGGTCACATGATACCCCACGAGAGTCCGTAAATGGAATTTGCGTATCTTTGGATTGGGAAAATGGGGTTTGAGTGGGACTGGGAATGATAATTTTGTAGTTGGACATTTCAGAGTGAAATAACTTTAAGAACAGCTACAGAGCAATTTTTGATACAGAATTTAATTAACCGAGGTATGATAGCTCAATGAGGTCATTTTTCCGCTATTGTAAGTCAGGATTTGGAGAAAATTTGAGCTGGGAAATTAATGAAATCTATACCAATTTAGCCCCCCCCCCCTTTTTAGGATCCTCCATGAGTGACGACTTCGTTTTCGTGTGCACGCGTGGGTGTCAATTTAGAAAAATATGGTAAAAATCTAAAAGGTTTTGTTGAAAAGTGACGGTAGGCGTTAGTGGGGTCAGGGTTCGGTAAACCCTTACCCAAACTCCAATTGTCAACCTAATTAGGGTATAACCAAATTCTTAACCTAGCACTTACCATGAATTCCTAATCTTAAACAATCACAAGATCTCCCAAGGTTGCATTGTATAAAATTTGTTTATTCACGTTCAAAATTATTTTTACAAATAATCATCTAACATTTCAAATCCCTTTACAAAAACCGTTTTTAAAGATTATTAATTTTCTACTCCATTAATGGGTCATTGAGTTCACCATGGGTCCGGCTCTCACCAAAGAAACGACAAGAAGTGAGACAAGTGCACGCCAAACGAACACCTTTTGTAAGAAGAAACACTAGTCTCACAACCTGTGAAACAACGGCAACAAACACGAGCAGAATGCAGACTGCTGGGAGAAAGCCAACAAGCGAAACTTGACACCACTTGAAACCATCCATAATATGTGACATCGGGCCTGTGGGCTCAACCCCTTCAGAGAGGTACGCCATGAAAGGAAGATTAAACATTGCCATCAACACCAGGCAGAATAATGATGTAGTTTCAGCACGGTTATCGAAAACACGCTCATAGGGGTGCATATATATATGCAGCGATAGATTGATGATGCAGAAAAGTAGTAAAGTAAGCGATTTTAGGAACGGATCTTTAATCAAAACAGCGGCGAGAATTAGAACAAGCATTCGACCAATCAAAACGCTTTCCCAATAAATGGTGCCAGCGCTGATATGATCTGGAATACGGTATGAGCCAAACAGAACCGATGTAATAGCAGTTCGGCCACCCGTATCCGGTACAGCATTCCCAGCAAGATGACGCCGGTTTAAGAACCAATACGACAACAAAGGCAACGGAAATAAGCAGGCAAGGAAAAAATTAGCCACAGAGATTTGCTTTTTGTAGAATTTCTTAGCTCCGAAGAATATGACCAATACAAATGGAAAGAAATATATCAGAACCAGTGTCCCTATAAGCGTCTGCCACCAAGTATAGCATTCTATATTACAGTTGACAAACAAACAGTTGACACCATCAACAGTAACACAGTTTAGCAGAGTTAAGCTTTTCCGAGCAAGTACAGTATAACCGAGAAACACGCTTTTAAGAAAGGCTGATAGATAGAGACCGTTTTTTGGAGTCCGACCAGGAAAACATACAGACATTGTTTTCTGTAGAAGGAAAATACATGGAATGGCAAAGAGAACTGAGAAAACGCCTAAAGTATGGAATAACAGCTTTGATACAGGATTCAAGCCTGGAAATGGGCAGGCAAAGCCTTCTCGGTTCAGACGCATATCAAAGTTGAATAATCCTACTGTAAATTGCGTTAGATGACTATCCCAAATTGCATTGTAGGACCCTTGCACTGTTAGGATGTCTATAGCTTGGTAATAGAAGAAGATAATTCGTTCTAAGCCTGATATTGAGGTTTCTTTTGAGACGTCCTCGGGGTGAGTTCGGGTTGAGGTGAGTTCAGTCACTTGGGGTGGGCTTGATCGAAACCAGGTGATACCACGGTAAAGAATGGCAGGGATATCTGGTTGGATGATAAGATAAAGGGTGAAGCCTAGCACAAAGATTACTGCCATAGGCCAAAACCAGTAATCCTTGCATTTTTCTGATTTTCGACACGATGGTGTGAAGATTGTTTCAGTGTAACCTGGCATGCATGTACCACAGAGCCTGCCGTGTCGGGCAGTGTTGCATTTGTCGTATGGAACACAGCCTTTTCGTGGGGACGATGCCTGACAACAGTAGCCGACTGGGCAGCGCGAAAACTCTATTGTTGGTGGGTTCATCTGGATTTTGTATCCCCAAAAGTTTGGTAACACTTCGAGACCTTTAGCACATCTTCCTCCATACGGACACAGCAGACATTTCAACGAGTTACTTGTGTTATCTCTAGGAATGCAATGAGATACGAGTAGATTATATGGGGATTTTGAGCCATCTCACTGTAAATGGAAATTTTGAGTGAGATTTTTATACATTTATTTAGACCTATAGATAGCCCTTACCATCAGGGCCGCTGAGAGGTTGGTTGGGGCCCGGGGCAAATTTTTCTTTAGGGGCCCCTATTTCCAAAAATGTTTTTGGAGAACAACGCCCCCCCCCCCTCGACAACTGTAGGGAAAACATTTTTCCGGACGAGTACGTTGCAATTGTTTCCCAGCGCCTTTACCTCAAATTTTCATACCAAATTTGGGTATTTTGCCCAAAAGAACAAATATCTTGCCCTTTGTGCGAAAATATTTGACCCAAAAAAATGACTGGGCCCAACAAAAATTTTCTAGGGGCCCCCAGAACCTGGGGGCCCGGGGCAATTTGCCCCCCCCCCCTGCCCCCCCTCTCGGCGGCCCTGCTTACCATTTGTCCTATGGTTAGGCGTGTTGTGGTAAGTATCTGGTGTGATACGGTATGGTGTGCTAGCTACTAAATAGGTATGGTACCAGGTGATCTCGGAACTCAGAAAATGCCTGGCACTAGTTGTAAAATAGAAATCCATTTCTGTCTTAAAATTACTCAATATTTCATTAACGGTGTTAGATTTATATCTCAAATTTGTCCCATATATTCATTTCCCTGTGCAAGACACAGACACAAAGTATCAAACAGTTTCACAAAATAATCAGGGCGTGTGACAAGTGATTAAAGGTATGAAACTGGATTTCTATTCTGTTGCCAGTCCCAGTCCTTTTGCTCACCGTCAGAGCACCTGGTAAGGTATGGTAAAGTGTGGTGTGTTTTGGCAAGGTATGGTATGGTGAGGTACAATACGGTGAGGTGTGGTGAGGTTAGGTAAAGTAGGTATGAAAAGCTATGGTATGGTATTGTATGTTAAGATAATATAATAAATATTCTTACCTATACACCCCGCGGTCTATGGTGTAACTACCCATGGTACAAAGTTCACATTCAAAACTCTGTGCAGCTAGTGCAGCTGGTTTAATTGAAACTGAGCGCTTCATCCAGCGTCTGATTTTATAACCCCAAGGACATTGTATGGATGTACCTTGTGCCAACTGAAATTTGTGTGTGTGTGCTATCTCTATTACTATCACTTTCTCTAAAGATGGTGACCACTGGTAATCTAGTGTGGAATTGGACAAAATAACAGAATCACATAGATCACTTGATAGGCCAAGAGTGCCATGAAATTTCCCATTGTTCGAGGTTTCATGGACTGTATGACGTTGGATTATCCGAGAATCTTGTATAAAAGAGTTTCCATAAGTCAGACTCATACTGCCTGTAGCCTGGACGTCCGGAATATTACCACCATTATTACTGTCCAATGTGCAGTTTTTGATAAATATATTAGAATTGAACCCTGTGATTGCACCAGGCCCATTTCTACCACTGTTATTACGGAATGTGGAATCGGTAATGTTACATTCAATTTTACTCCCGACAAGTAAGGCTCCAGCGAAGTCAGCTATGTTGCCTACAAATACACACCTTTGTATGTGCAGGTGAGCAAGATTCCGTGCAAAAATAGTTGAGTAAGTTCCTATGTTATTATGAAACTCACAATCTTCAATAAACAAACCTGAGTCAAATGTTTCTCCATACTCGAGAGGTGACTGACCCCTCTTTGGATTAAAGCCATGCCCTTTTTTGGTTGACTCGAATGCTTTATTATCACCCATCAGTAAAGATCTATCCCTTTTCAGTGATCCACTATTCTCAGAACCCAGAGCTTTAGTGCCTGTTTTCAAATCCCCAGTAACCTTTGACTTTAAGGCCCCATTCTTCTTGGAATCGAAGCCTTCTCCGTTTTTGCTCGGTTTATTATTGTCCAAGCTTAAAAATCCATCCGTTTCCCGAAGTCTACTATTTTCTGTGTCCAGAGATTCGTTCTTCGTTTTGAAAACCCTGGTCCTGTTTGACTCTAGGGATGCAGCCTTCTTGGAACTTAGAGTTAACACTATGGGTTCATCTTTTTCGGAACTTAGATCTGGTTTCTGGGATCCACCTCGCTTGGAATTAAGACTTGGCTGCAGAGGTCTGCCCCTTGGAGATATGCTTTTCGTTTCAACATGTTTAGCCACATTGGCATCCAAGAGTTGACTCGTTTTGCAATTTACAGAAAGACCACACTCTTTTGATCCACTCATGTTTCCCTTGAGAAGAGCACCTTCCTTTAATTCTGGAGGTCCACCCCTCCCCAACTTTTCAGATTTCCTTTTCCACTTTAAAGGCCTGTTAAGGCTATCCTGTTGACCAGCGCCGGGCCATGGATCGTTTAGGTCGGAAAATTCCGCAAAAATATGAGTCTGATTTGAATTACTAAACTGAATCACAGAGTTTCTTATAGTTATCATGCTACTTGACAATGTCGAAATATACAATGCCTCTGCGTCGTTATGAGAAAAATTGCAATTTATAACAAAAAAGGTTAAGTTTTTAGAAACCCTTACCATAGGTGCAATGTTATTGTTCACATTATTCTTGACAGAGAAACTGGACTGAAAGCTAACCAAATATCCAAGATTAATAAAAGAGAACTTCGTATTCGAGATCTCAGAATTCATGAAATTAAAGTTTACAAATCCTTGCATAGAGATAACATGATTTGTCTTTTCCAAATAATTATTGGCAACGGTGATGTTCTTGATTTCTACGAAAACTGGAACTATTTGATTGTTAACAACGCTTAAAGAACCAGCATTATTCTTTTCTAAGAAATTTGTATCGGTAATATTAATTCTCAGATTACCCAGTACGTGCTTTGTTACTGAGACATTGATAAGGTTGGGAAAGGCTGTGTCTTTTTCAAAGGAACCGAATAAACAATTATTAACAGTTAAGGAAACATCGTCAGCTTTCAAAAAAGTGTCAAGAAATTTTAAATGGTGAAATTCAATGGTTGTGAAATTGATCGAATTGCCTTCAAAATTTAGTCCTTTTCCAGAGCAGTTTATGGTTGCTCTTCCATTCCAAGAATAGAAACGTAGTTTTCCAGTAATTGCCCTCGTTGTGTTTACACATGTATTGTATGGTACATTTTCGGTGTTCTTAGCGTCCAGTTTAATGATGACGTCATTTCCGCTCGACATATTGATCACGTGATGTAAGGTTTGACATGGCGAGGTGACGTTTTGACAAGAGTTCGCGCCATCGTGACCACGAGATTTTGAGACGTAGAGATTAATGTTCCCAGAGGCTGGAATTAAAAGAATGAATTTTAATGAGTTGTTACATAGAGATTTATTTTTGTGGAAGTAGCCATAGCATCGAGTCAGCGCAGCCAGGCTGTGATAACTGGCTTGATGATTTTTGAAGTTGCTACTTTAGATATTAAGCCGTGTTTATACCACGAGCCTAAGCCTGGCCTAGGCCTAGCTTTGGACTAGATTTTTGTACTGTAAACACACTTTGGCCTGTTCTAGGCTAGGAAATCTAGGCCACCTGTTCTGATGGGTCCAGATTTCCTGGCCTAGGCCAGGCTGAAGTACGTTTACACTACAAAAATCTAGTCCAAAGGTAGGCCTAGGCCAGGCTTAGGCTCGTAGTGTAAACACGGCTTTAGAGGCCTTACGATTTTAGGACGCCGGCAACGCGACGGCGACGGCCAAAACAAGCTCCTTCAAATAAATGGTAGTAAAGATAATTCGTCGTATATTATCAATCGTATGAATTTAATACTGTCTTAGAAGTTGAAGACATGGGTTTTATGTTGGGAAGAGCTCTACTGAACCCAGTTTGAAGTTGCACTTGTTGCGGCTTGAAATGCAGCCGTTGTATCAAGACGTGAAAATCTGTGATTTGCCGTTGTAAACAGAGCGAGGACAATGTCTAAATTATTCATAGATTGTAATTACTCAATGGACCTTTAACCTTATAACTAAAATTTTGATCTAGACAAGTCTACACAAAAATTTCATCACAGCTTGAAAGAGCATCACAAAATTAGTAATATTCCGAAGTTTCGTTGCGAAATGTTGTAAAATGCGGATAATATAGCCTTGCGAAGTTTGCAATTTTCAGTCATTTTAGATTACAAACGGGAAGTTGATACCCAAACACCCGATTTGGGTATCAATTTCCCGTTTGTAATCTAAAATGACTGAAAATTGCAAATTTCGCAGGGCTATATTATCCGCATTTTACAACATTTCGCAACGAAACTTTGGAATATTACTAATTTTGTGATGCTCTTTCAAATTTTTGTCTAGATCAAAATTTTAGTTATAAGGGGAAAGGTCCATTTTCGGGCGACGTCTGTGTTGATAAAAACGTCGTTTGCACCCATTTCCCAACTAGAAGAACTCGACATTATAAACTTCGAGCCCGGTCACAGAAATGAAAGACAAATGTCCTGACTGTCACAACTATTGTGCTACCATGTCACTGACAAACCGTCGCTAATAATGTTGATAACAGAACTCACCCAAAGTCAGAAACACTACAACGAGCAATATTTTCAAGACTTCCTGTTTCACAATTGATCCGCATTTGTAAACAAACGCAATGTTGACCATGATGAATTCTTATTGAATCTCTAAATCACCACATATACCAAGTTTTGTCAAATTCAAGTGTTCAAAAGTCTAAACGATGATTTCTGAACAGTTACCGTACACTGATAATTCATAGGAAAGTGTTTCATTTTCCTGGTAAATATTCTCTCAAAGATGTGTTCTAGTATGAAATATGACCTATGTCGGCCAATATCTGAGAAGGTGAAGTAGGAGTATTTTGGATTGGTTTCCGGGATCTGTGACGATGATAAAACACTCCTTCTCGTGTTTTAAATAGTATACATAAACGACATAGGGAGTGAGATTATGGGAGGTCATATGGGAGAGGTCAGACTCTTCATACCCCTCTTACTTATGGTCCATGCATGCATAGTCTTTCAAAACATGGTTTGGAAACTCCGCTAAAGTCTTTGTTCTATCTTTTTGTTCGCGTTTATGCAGTTTTGTGCACAGTGCACGGTCAATGAACACATTGTATTTCAGTATAATGAACGGATCATCCAATAGCAACGTTTCAGTTCAGTCATTCAACCATGCTATTTAAATATTAATAAACCTGAAACAAAGGATGTGCACGGTGTAAGGTACGGCTCAACATAAAATCCGAGCCCATTATAACCGCTTTGAAGTTTACTGAGTTCCTGATCATATCTTGAAAGACTATAGACCAATTGCGAAACTTAGTGGCCGCGCCTTCATACTGCACGAGAACGAGGCTTATTATGCAAAAACAAAACAATTTCTATATTTTTATATAGCGAAAAGTGAATTTTAGGGGTTTTAAAGTGTTTTTTCTTGAATCTCTTTGATCTTTTCTTAATATTTCGTGCTAGGTTATATAAATATTTGTTAAATTTATCTAAACATCGATTTCCCACTATATTTTTACCCGCTTTAGAGAGATATTTCGTTGTTGTTTTAGCATGCGATGGAACAAACATATGGAAAAGATCAATCTAGACTTTAAAATCTGATCAAGATGCAAATAAAATAGCCAGTATAACTTAACAAACTAAAATATAACTCTTTCTACCCATATTTTTTTAGACTTCGTGCGAGAAAAAAACGATTTTGTCAAAGGATAATAACATAAAATTTCTACAAATTTTGCCCGACATTTACTTTCATATTTTTAAAGTTAAAATCGAAAACTTGCTATTATATTACAACTGAAACAAAATTAATCAACGTTACAACTTTTTCTTTGAAATGTAATAATAAAACAGACGGAAAATACCTGATTCTTTCTCTGGTATAATCTGCTTCTTTTATCGGACGGCGAAAAACAGCAAAACTTTGCCTCGCACGCCGCGAAAAACAATGAAATTTGAAGTAAGACTAAATCTATGAACAAGTTTAATAAAGATTTACATAATCAAAACAGAAATATTGAAAAAAAATGAAGAGATTACCATAAAAACGGGTCTCAAACACTGAAATTTATTTTTCGCCATATAAAAGTATAGCAGAATGATTTGTTTTTGCATAATAAGCCTCGTTTTCGTGCAGTTTAAGGCGCGGTCACTAAGTTTCGCAATTGGTCTATGATGCATGCAGGAACTTTAAAATTTCTTTGAAGAAAGACTTATTGAGGCAGTTTTGAAGCAGTGCCGTAGCCAGAACGATAATTGAGGGGGCACATATTCATATATTCGTGTTCACATACCATAAAAACAATTGATTTCAAAAGAAATTAATAAAGCAGAACACGAATATATGAATATGTGCCCCCTCAATTATCGTTCTGGCTACGGCACTGTTTTGAAGCAAAATTTGACGTTTTTGAATTCGGAGTTAGCCATGGACATCACTTCATAGCTCGTTAAATTCTGTCATCTCGTATTAGAGACTTTACGATTTTAGGACGGCAACGGCTACCAATACAATAGATCATTGAAAATAATTGATTCTATTGTAAGTCAGGGTTTAGAGAAAATTTGGCTGGGAAATGGAATCTAGACCACCTGAGTGGTTATATTACTACCTTAAAAAATAAGCAGAAACTCGACGTTTCGAGCGAAGGCCCTTCGTCAAATCTTGACGAAGGGCCTTCGCTCGAAACGTCGAGGTTCTGCTTATTTTTTAAGGTAGTAATATAACAACTCAGCACAGCATTTCTACATTGGTACTACCTACACTGGTACAGACAGTTTTAATCTAGACCACCGCCCTTCAGGACCCTCATGACTGAAGACCTCGTTTTCATGTACGCGCGTGGGTGTCATTTTTCATGTGCGCGCGTGGGTGTCATTTTTCAACAATTTTTCAACCAAATTCTTAACCTGGCACTTACCATGAATTCCTAATCGTAAACAATCACAAGATTTCCCAAGGTTGCATTGTATAAAATTTGTTTATTCACGTTCAAAATTATTTTTACAAATAATCATCTAACATTTCAAATCCCTTTACAAAAACCGTTTTTAAAGATTATTAATTTTCTACTCCATTAATGGGTCATTGAGTTCACCATGGGTCCGGCTCTCTCCGAAGAAACGACAAGAAGTGAAACAAGTGCACGCCAAACGAACACCTTTTGTAAGAAGAAACACTAGTCTCGCAACCTGTGAAACAACGGCGACAAACACGAGCAGAATGCAGACTACTGGGAGAAAGCCAACAAGCGCAATTTGACACCACTTGAAACCATCCATAATATGTGACATCGGGCCTGTGGGCTCAACCCCTTCAGAGAGATACGCCATGAAAGGAAGATTAAACATTGCCATCAGCACCAGGCAGAATAATGATGTAGTTTCAGCACGGTTATCGAAAACACGCTCATAGGGGTGCATATATATATGCAGCGATAGATTGATGATGCAGAAAAGTAGTAAAGTAAGCGATTTTAGGAACGGATCTTTAATCAAAACAGCGGCGAGGATTAGAACAAGCATTCGACCAATCAAAACGCTTTCCCAATAAATGGTGCCAGCACTGATATGATCTGGAATACGGTATGAGCCAAACAGAACCGAGGTTATAGCCGTTCGGCCACCCGTATCCGGTGCAGCATTTCCAGCAAGATGACGCCGGTTTAAGAACCAATACGACAACATAGGCAACGGAAATAAGCAGGCAAGGAAAAAATTAGCCATAGAGATTTGCTTTTTGTAGAATTTCTTAGCTCCGAAGAATATGACCAATACAAATGGAAAGAAATATATCAGAACCAGTGTCCCTATAAGCGTCTGCCACCAAGTATAACATTCTATATTACAATTGACAAACAAACAGTTGACACCATCAACAGTAACACAGTTTAGCAGAGTTAAGCTTTTCCGAGCAAGTACAGTATAACCGAGAAACACGCTTTTAAGAAAGGCTGATAGATAGAGACCGTTTTTTGGAGTCAGAACAGGAAAACATACCGACATTGTTTTCTGTAGAAGGAAAATACATGGAATGGCAAAGAGAACTGAGAAAACGCCTAAAGTATGGAATAACAGCTTTGATACAGGATTCAAGCCTGGAAATGGGCAGGCAAAGCCTTCTCGGTTCAAACGCATATCAAAGTTGAATAATCCTACTGTAAATTGGGTTAGATGACTATCCCAAATTGCATTGTAGGACCCTTGCACTGTTAGGATGTCTATAGCTTGGTAATAGAAGAAGATAATTCGTTCTAAGCCTGATATTGAGGTTTCTTTTGAGACGTCCTCGGGGTGAGTTCGGGTTGAGGTGAGTTCAGTCACTTGGGGTGGGCTTGATCGAAACCAGGTGATACCACGGTAAAGAATGGCAGGGATATCTGGTTGGATGATAAGATAAAGGGTGAAGCCTAGCACAAAGATTACTGCCATAGGCCAAAACCAGTAATCCTTGCATTTCTCTGATTTTCGACACGATGGTGTGAAGATTGTTTCAGTGTAACCTGGCATGCATGTACCACAGAGCCTGCCGTGTCGGGCAGTGTTGCATTTGTCGTATGGAACACAGCCTTTTCGTGGGGACGATGCCTGACAACAGTAGCCGACTGGGCAGCGCGAAAACTCTATTGTTGGTGGGTTCATCTGGATTTTGTATCCCCAAAAGTTTGGTAACACTTCGAGACCTTTAGCGCACCTTCCTCCAAACGGACACAGCAGACATTTTAACGAGTTACTTGTGCTATTTCTAGGAATGCAATGAGATAGGAGTAGATTATATGGGGATTTTTAGCCATCCGGCACTCACTGAGTAATTAATGTTGAAGGATTTTGTAGATGGAAATTTTGAGTGAGATTTTTATACATTTATTTACACCTATGGATCGCCCCTTTGTCCTAATTGACCATTTGCGTAATAGACAAAATTTAGATCTCAACAAATCTAGACAAACATTTCATCACAGCTTGAAAGAGCATCACAAAATTAGTAATATTCCAAAATTTCGTTGCGAAATGTTGTAAAATGAGGATAATATAGCCTTGCGAATTTTGCAATTTTCAGTCATTTTAGATTGCAAACGCGAAATTGACAGCCTCAAGGCGTATCGGGCTGTCAATTTCCCGTTTGTAATCTAAAATGACTGAAAATTGCAAACTTCGCAAGGCTATATTATTCGCATTTTACAACATTTCGCAACGAAACTTTGGAATATTACTAATTTTGCGATGCTCTTTCAAGCTGTGATGAAATATTTGTCTAGATCAAAATTTAGTCTATTACGCAAATGGTCAATTCCATGGTATGGTATGGTATGGTATGGTATGGTATGGTATGGTATGGTATGGTATGGTATGGTATTAATGGTATGGTGTGATATGGTTAGGCTTGCTGTGGTAAGTATCTGGTGTGGTACGATATGGTGTGCTAGCTGCTAAATAGGTATGGTAAGGTATGGTAAAGTATGGTATGGTGTGTTTTGGCAAGGTATGGTATGGTGAGGTACAATACGGTTAGGTGTGGTGTGGTGAGGTTAGGTAAAGTAGGTATGAAAAGCTATGGTATGGTATTGTATGGTAAAATAAGATAATAAATATTCTTACCTATACACCCCGCGGTCTATGGTGTAACTACCCATGGTACAAAGTTCACATTCAAATTCAAAACTCTGTACAGCTGATGTAATTGAAACTGAGCGCTTCATCAAGCGTCTGATTTTATAACCCCAAGGACATTGTATGGATGTACCTTGTTCCAACTGAAATTTGTCTGTGTGTGCTATCTCTATTACTATCACTTTCTCTAAAGATGGTGACCATTGGTAATCTAGTGTGGAATTGGACAAAATAACAGAATCACATTGATCACTTGATAGGCCAAGAGTGCCATGAAATTTCCCATTGTTCGAGGTTTCATGGACTGTATGACGTTGGATTATCCGAGAATCTTGTATAAAAGAGTTTCCATAAGTCAGACTT